TTACCTTTAAGGGAACTATTCCTCCTCCCCTAAAGCCATTGTTACCCACAAGATAATGAACAAGGTTTTGACTTTTGAATTTTATTTTCTATTGCTACTTGTGGCCAAAGCACAGTGTTTTACACTGACAAACAGTGATCCATCGCAACAGAAATTTAAACACACATGGGTGTGTTCTAATTTTCCTCTCCGGAGGTTTTTGTTTTGTTTTGTTTTGTGAGTTGGAGTCTCACTTTGTCACCCAGGCTGGAGTGCAGTGGTACAATCTCGACTCACTGCAACCTCCACCTTCTGGGTTCAAGCAATTCTCGTGCCTCAGCCTCCTGTAGCTGGAATTACAGGTGCTCGCCACCACACCTGGCTAATTTTTGTATTTTTAGTACAGATGGGGTTTCACCATGTTGGCCAGGCTGGTCTCGAACTTCTGACCTCAAGTGATTCACCCACCTTGGCCTCTCAAAATGCTGGGATTACAGGCATGAACCACCATGCCCAGCCCAGAGTTCTTAAATTGAAACTTTTTTTAATGAGATGTGTAGAGATATGGCCAACTCCTGTCTTCTCCCTTAATGATCAGTGTTTGGTGGAATTGAGAAGTGAGGGTTTTTCTGTAATGTGCCATCTACAATAGAGTGGGAAAGCACTGGTCTAATGGTGAAGGGAAGTGGATTCCAGTATCTGCATAGTCACTGTCAGTTCTGGCGATGGCCCCCAACACTGTGCCTCAGCAGCCTCACCTGTAAAGAGGACATAAACACCCTTCCTGCATGTCTCACAGGGCGGATATGAAAAGGAAAAGAGCTGGTGTGCTGACACACACTCAGTGCTCACTGAGTATTCGTTCATTGATTAAACGAAGGTTTCGAGGCAGGGATATCTTATTAAGGGTGTGGCTGCTCTGTGGCTGAAGGCCATCAGAGATGATCAACTTCCTTGCCAGCAGCCAGCTTGGCATGCAGAGTGGACCAAGCTCTGCCATCTCTCCCAGAGGACTTTCCAGGATGATTTTGGTGGTCACTGCAAAAGCAAAGATACACTAATCACCCTGATCTGATCACTGTACATTATATGTATGACATCATCACTATGTACCTCATAAATATGTATAATTATTATATGTCAATTAAAACTTTATTTAGAGCAAAGATAGCCCTGTTCATGGCCTTCCCCAGCTTGCTGGCCACTGACCTTGAGAAGCCAATGGTTTCTCATAAGATGGAAGAGAAACAGGAACAGCTCCCTATGTTAATATACCATGAAGGCCAAGGAGCTGATGGGAGGCTGGGGATTATGAAGGGCCTAATCTCATACTCTTCATTCAGACACAGGGGACCAAGTGGCTCTGAGAGGGAAAGGATGTGCTCAGTTAGTGACAGAGCCAAGACTAGAGTGTTTTGTACTTGTGTGTAATCATCACAGATGCCATCACCCAAGACCACACCTCACCCTAAAGCTCCATTTTGAAGCACTTCTTGGAGCAGGTATCTCTTCTCACCATTGCCAAGCTGGGTTTGGGAAGCTGCCCTAAACCCACCTCAAGCCCAGGAAGGCTTTGGACCCCAAATCCATACAAACACCTGCTGGAACTCACAGTTGGAAGAGATCTCTTGGAGAGCAAGTTCCACTTGCCCAGTCCCCAGGCCACTCTTTTTTACAGTGATCTCCAAAGCCTCTGGACCCAGCTGCCAGCTCTACTCCCAGCTCTGAGGTCCCCCCTGGCAGGAGCACACATGCCACCGCTTTGCACCAAATCCCCAAAGTGCCCAGCACATTCTAGGCTCCCACTGTCTCCAAGGTACCCTAGGGCCCTGCTAGAGAAGGGTAATGGCAGGAAGCCATAATATATTAAAACAGCAGATTAAAACAAACAAGAGCATTTTGGATCGTATTACACATCACTTTCCTCACGTCTGACAACAGAAAAAAATCAAAGGCGGTAAAAGACAATCGTAGACCATAATGGTCTAATAACTTGGTGATAAAAGTGCTTGTGGGAGCAGCGTGGGCGTCGGTGGCTCCGGGTGCAGGAATCAAAGCCCTCTTCCAGATCCACAGTGGTGGGCTCAGAGGCATTACTGCTTAAGTGCTCGTTTAAGACTTCCTCCAAAATGCAGTGCACTCGCTGGAGAATCATAATTAGGCCCCAACTGTGGGCCATATTCACACATTGTGCATCATTCTTAAAGATGACAGAAAAAAAAATTACCCAGGGCTGTGTGGCATGGATATTAGATCTTTTACCATTGTCCTCCATGAGAAAAACAAAAAACAAAAAAAACACTTAATAATCTCCCGTCTAGACTCATAGCATTTGAATACTAAGCAATATGACTTAGTTTTATTTTGAAATGGAAAAAGGAAAGCTAAGAAAACGGAAGGCTGTGAGCAGCGGAACTCTGGGGTTTCTTTCACAGCCTATAGGTGTGGTCAAATCCATAGGAAAGTGGAGCGTAAGGGATCTTCCATTCATGAGTCACTGTCCAAACCGAAGTCAGACCAAAATTCCAGAAAAACCTCAGATGGCATTAGACAGAAGTATACCAGCCCAGATCTGATTAAACATTTGGAACATGTCAACTTTTGAAAAACACTTTCATTTATTTATTTATTCATTTTTAAATTTATTTTATTTTATTTATTTTTTCAGACAGGGTCTCACTCTGTTGCCCACCTGGAGTGCAGTGGCAGAATCTCAGCTCACTGCAACCTCTGCCTACTGGGCAAAAGCGATCCTCCCACCTCAGCCTCCCAAGAAGCTGAGACTACAGGCGAAGAACATCGCAACCGGCTGTTTTTTGTATTTTTTGTAGAGATGGGGTCTCGCCATGTTGTCCAGACTGGTCTTGAACTCCTGAACTCAAGCAATCTACCTGTTACTTAGCATCCCAAAGTGGCCCGGCTGTCATTTAATAGTCTGTATGCTGAAAGAAAATGCCACAAAAATGTGCAGCCACTTTTCCATGTCTCCTCCCCATTTCCTTCCCTACCTTCTCAACCCAAGCCCATTTCCAACCCTACGTTTTGGCTCATGGGAAAGAGCTGTCTAGGAATTAAGAAACAAATCTGCCCATGACTCACGTTCTCCATGTCAGCCTCAGTGCCCGGCTCACTGCTGCCTTTGTCCCCAGGCCAAAGGTTTCTTGGGAGAACTTTGTTCAGGTCAGGTCAGCTCCCCAGGAAAAGAGACCTAAACCTGAATTCAGGTCATCCTCCTCGTTTTTAATTTGAACTTACCTACTGCTGTCATTTTTTCATCTGCTTTTTTAAACTGATCCCTACCCCCAAAAGTGGCATCCATTTATTGTTTTTTGTTGTTGTTTGGGGTTTTCTTGTTTGTTTGTTTTCGTTTTTGTTTTGAGAGGGAGTCTTACTGTGTCACCCAGGCTGGAGTCCAGTGGCGCCATCTCAGCTCACTGCAACCTCCACCTTCCAGATTCAAGCAATCTTCCAACCTCAGCCTCCTGAGTAGCTGGGACTATAGGTATGCACCATCATGCCCAGCTGAGTCTTTGTGTTTTTGGTTGAGACAGGCTTTTGCCATGTTGCCCAGGCTGGTCTCTAACTTCTGAGCTCAAGCTATCCACCCCTGTCAGCCTCCCAAAATGCTAGGATTACAGGAGTGAGCCACCACGCCCAACCTATTTATCTTATTCTATTCACATAGATTTACACATGTGATTTATAGATTTATCTAAAAATAAATTGTATATTTTCATGACAACTCTGGGTGGTCAGTGATGGATTGTTATTTTTCACTTTATAGATTCTAAAATCTGCATTTTAATAAGAGCCTCATAGCTAATAAAGGAGGTATTACAAGTCAGTGAGAAATGAATGAATGATTTGAATGTGATTTGGAAAAAATTGGCTCTCTTGGTGGTGTAAACATCTAAATCGTTATCTCACATCATAAAATAAAATAAACTGACATATTAAAATTATAATACCTGAAAAATTTGGAAAACCATAAGAAAATGTAGATAAGTATTTATTTAATCCTTGCATTGAAAGAAGTTTCTAAGCATAAAATAATGAAGGAAATCACAAGGGAAAGGACTAACATATTAGGTCACACAAAGATTGTAAACATCTAGATGTCAAAAAATTACAAGCAAACAATAAATTGAAAAAATATTAGCCACATACATGACAGGTAAAAGGTTAATATTCTTACTATACAAGGCATTCATACAAATCAATAAGAAAAAATAAATAGAAAATGGGTAAAGGTTATGAATAGATAATTTACAAAAGAGAAAATACAAATGTTTGGCTAATACACATAAGAAAGCTACTCAGCTACAAAAGGAATCCAAAAAATTAAAAATAAAGTCACCAGAGATAGCTTCCTGTTTATCAAACCAGCAAAAAATAGAAATATTAATAGTACTGGATGCTATAAAAGTGAAGTGAGAGAAGAATATAAATTATATGACCTTTCCGGAAGGCAGTTTGGGCAATGTGTATCAAGAGCCTTGAAAACACTCATGTTTTCTGACCTGGTAATTCCTTTTTAAGGACTTCATCCTATAAAGTAATTAAAAATGTGGGCTAAGCTGTTTGTAAAAGATAATCCTTAGAGAGTGAGTTATACCAGCAAAATATGGGAACAATGTCCCTCACCCAGAGAGTGGCTTAAATTTTAGTGCATCTATATAATGAAATATTGTAAAGGCATTAAAATTGAAAAATAATTTTAGTGACAAGGAAAAATACCTATGCAATAGTGTTAAATGACAAACGCTGCCTGCAAAATAGTCTACAGCATCTTAAATATATAAATATATGCCTAGGAGAAAGAACTGTAAAGTGGTATCATCAGTGTTTACCAGTGAGCTGAAGAATAGTACATACTTTAAAAAACACTTTTCTAATTTTCTACAATAACAGGTATTTATTTTATAATTAGAAAAATAGAACTGAGAAAACTCTCTTTTTATTTTTTCATACTGATACACCATTTATGTTTTTAAATTTTTTATTTTAAAATATTTAACAGATTGAATATACTCAAGGTCTACAATGTGATGATTTGATATATGTAGACATTGTATAATGATAACCACAATCAAATTAATTAATACATCCATTACCATCTGTCCATTAGATTTTCAGCACTTGGTCATCGTATAACTAACGTTGAACCCTTTGAGCACGTCTCCCTGTTTTCTCCAGCCCCCACCCCCTGGCAACTGCTGTTCTACTCTCCACCTCAATGAGTTCAACTTTTTTAGATTCCACATATGTGTGAGATCATACAGTATTTGTCCTTCCATATCTGGCTTATTTCACTTAGCACAATGACCTCCGGGTTCATCCATGTTGCTGCAAACAAGCTTCTATGTTTTCAATGAAAAAGTTTCAAAAAGGTAAACACCATAATGCAATTCCACATTTGGTCACATGAATCCATAACCACAGTTTAATCTGCCCTGTGAATTTTTCTTTTTACGGTAAGGACAAAACATACAACTACAAAGCCCACAATACTTTAAAATCACTTCTGAGTTGGTCAGTATACATAATTGCAAGTATATAGTTATTAGTAATCAGTCCTAATTAGTGTTTCTGTGTTTTGCTTTGTCTATTTAATATGATTTAATATTTAAGTGCTCAAGTGTCAGCATAGTCAACATGTGTAACTTGTTGACAGTGTGGCAATCACTGCTATGTGTTCATCCAACAATTCCCCTTTCACCCCGGGCTTATAGCAAGACTACATTTCCCAGCCTCCCTTGTAGTTAGATGTGGCCATGTGACTGCGTTCTGGCTCCTAGAATGTGGGTAGAAGTAATGTTGCCTCCAGACCTCTGAATCTGGCTCGTGAAACCTCCCTTGCAATCCTCTGTTCTCACTCTCTTCCCTCATGGATCTATCAGACACAGGGAGGAAATGGTGGAGCCAATAAACACAGAAGCCTAGGTCCCTGAGTGATGGCATAAGGAAACCTGTCTCCCCAACTGACCTACATTGGGTTGCAATGTGTGTAAGAAATAAACTTTATTGTGCTAAGCCACCAAGGTTTGTGGTTATTTGTTAAAGCAGTTATCCTACCCTAAGCCCAAAGATTTAGCTACTATCCCATTGTCTTGACAGATCATAGTGCTTAACCACTTTCCTGTCTGGGATATTTTCATTGTTTCTAAATAATGCCATGATCATCTTTGAACAAGATTATGGTTTTTCTTTTGCTTCTTTTGGCTTATGCTTATGGATTAGATCTCCCAAAGTGGTATTACCAATGCATCATCAGGGGATAATGTTCATAGTTCTTGATACACTATTACCAGACTGCTTTCCAGAAATATCGGAGCAAATGAGTGCAGCATCCCCAATGCATGGTGTTTCCCACGTCCCCAGCAACACTGGGTTTATTATTTTTAGCTTTGTTTGCCAATGCTGTGGCACCAACTAGAAAGTGCTTCCAAGGTCATTTACACTTGCAATACTTAGTGAGAGTTCCTGTACTACAGAGTATGTGACAGATAATATTTTGATCCACGAACCTCACCCTACTTACTAACCCCTTGGCCTGCCTTCTGGTATAGGCAGCCGCAGGGGCATTCACGTGCCTCGCATTAGTGAAGTGATGACATTGCAAAATACAGTAAAAGGAATCAAGCTTTCACTTCTGTGTTACAAAATAGGCTTCTGGAAACTCACAGCAGAGACCATAGTTTTAAGGAGGGAAGAAGCTTTCTGTATTTCAAAGCCCGGCTTTTGAGCATAAGAAGCCTCAGGCCTGAAAGACTCAGGGCATACGGTTTAGGCATAAATAATAGATTTAGGAGAATATGTGATCAGTCAGAGCCAGACAGCCCTGCCCCAGGCTGGATAAAGTTTCTCTGGATTGAGGCAGTGGAGAGGTAGAGAAGGAAGAAAAGGCTTAAATGGTGGGTCCTGAAGGCAGAAGGCTGCGACAGGAGCAGCAAGGGGCAGATGGACGCTGCATCCCCTACACTGCTTGTATCCACGTGGTGCAGTGGAGAAGGCTGTGTGCAAATGCCAGTCATTCAGGAGGGGTTCCTGCACAGGCGCTGTCCTGAGCACTGTGGATGCAGCAGTGAATGAAGAAGACCAAGTCCTTGCTTCTGTGGAATAACGTTCTAATGGGGGAAAATTAGACAAATATGTAGGCATGCCTCACTACAGCGCGCCTCACAAACATTGTGCGTTTTACAAATTGAAGGTTTGTGGCAACCCTGCATGGAGCAAGTCTGTCCTGGCCATCTTTCTGACAGCATATGCTCACTTCATGATTCTGTGTCACCTTTTGGTAATTTTCGTAATACTTTGAGCTTTTTCATCATTATTGTATCTGTTACAGTGGTCTGTGATCAGTGATCTTTGCTGTTACTATTATCATTGTTTTTGGGTACCACTAACCGCACCCATACAAGACAGCGAACTTAACAGATGAATGTTATGTGTTCTGACTGTTCGGCCTCCCTATACCCTGAGACACACAAATATTGAAATTAGGCCAATGAATAGCCCTACAAGGGGCTCTAAGTGTTCAAGTGAAAGTAAAAGTCACACAACTCTCACTTTAAATCAAAAGCTGTAATTAAACAGTGAGGAAGACACACTGAAAGCCAAGACAGGCTAAAAGCTAAGCCTCTTGTGCCAGTTAGTCAAGTTGAAAATGCAAAGAAAAAGTTCTTGAAGGAAATTAAATGTGCCACTCCAGTGAACATACAGATGATAAGAAAGCGAAACAGCCTTATTACCGATGTAGAGAAAGTTGTAGTTGGTCTGGATAGAAGATCCAACCAGCCATAGCATTCCCTTAAGACAAAGCCTAATCCAGTACAAGGCCGTAAATCTCTTCAATTCTGTAAACACTGAGAGGAGAGGACAAGAGAGGAAAGGAGAGGAGAGGACAAGAGAGGAGAGGAGAGGAGAGGAGGGGACAGGATGGGAGGGGAGGGGAGGGGAGAAGGAGGCGGAGGAGGAGGAGGAGGAGGTGAGGAAGAAGAAGGAGGAGGAGAGGAAGAAGAAGGAGGAGGGAAGAAGAGGAAGAGAAGAGGAGTTGGAAGCTAGCAAAGTTTGGTTCAGGAGGTATAAGGAAAGGAGCCATTTCCACAAACATCAGCACTTCAGGTAAAGCAGCAAGTGCTGATGGAGAAGCTGCGGCAAGTTATCCAGAAGATCTAACTAAGATTATTGATGAAGGCAGCCACACTAACAGATTTTCAATGTAGATGAAACACCCTTATATTGGAAGAAGATGCCATCTAAGACTTTTATAGCTGGAGAGGATAAGTCAATGCCTGGCTTCAAAGCTTCAAAGGACAGACTGACTCTCTTGTTAGGTTCTAATGCAGCTGGTGACTTTAAGTTGAAGCCAATGCTCATTTTCCATTCTGAAAATCCTAGGCCCCTTAAGAATGATGCTAAATCTACTCTCCCTGTGCTCTGGAAATGAAACAACAAAGCCTGGCTAATAGCACATCTGCTTATAGCACAGTTTACTGAACATTTTAATTCCACTGTTGAAACCTACTGCTCAGAAACAAACAAACAAAAAAAACCCTTTCAAAATATTTGAACATGCACCTAAGCACCCAAGAGCTCTGATGGAGATATATAAGAAGATTAATGTCGTTTTCAGCCTACTAACACAAAATCTATTCTGGGGCTTATGGATCAAGGAGTAATTTTGACCTTCAAGTTGTATTATTTAAGAAATACATTTTATAAGGCTATATAGCTGCCATAGTGATTCCTCTGATAGATCTGGGCAATGTATGCGACTCACTTTATCATAATATTTGCTTTATTGTGGAGGTCTAGAACTAAACCCACAGTATCTCTGAGACATGCATATATATATACAGACATATACATATATATGTGTGTGTGTGTGTGCACCTGTGTGTGATATATGTGTGTGTGTATGCATATACGTATATGATGTCAGTGGTGATAAGTTCTCCAAAGACAAATAAAACAGGACAGAGAGTGATGGACGGTGGAATTATTTTAAATAAGGTGATCAGAGAAGGCCTTTCTGAAAACATGATATATGAGCAGTTGAAGTGGGAAGGGAGCCCTGAGCATATTTGGGCACAGAGCATTCCAAGAAGTAAGAACAGCGAGTGCAAAGGCCGAGACAGAAGTGTGTGTTGGCATTGCCAGACCTATAAGAAGACCAGTGTGGCTGGAGCACGTGAGAGAGAGGGAAAGAGATGGTGGGAGGGAGAAAGTCAGAGAGAAAGCAGGTAGGCCAAGGCACGGTGGATGGGCTGTCTGGACAGACAGGGTGGAGGCAGTCTTGGTTAACACAGGGCTTGTCTCCTTTCCTAGCATGGTGTCTAAGTCCTAGAGGGCACTGAGGGGTCAAGGCAATGAGAGTAGTGTGCCTTGGGGGACAGTGTTTGGATGTGGTTGATGGTCCTCGAGGCCTCCACTGCATCCTCCTGGTTCCACACCACTAGCCTCTATGTCCGCTTTCCACTGCCTACCTCTGGGCCTTTTCTAAGCCACAGCAGACTGTTGGCTTTCCCCGTACCTTTGCTTGCAGGGTGCTGAGCACAGTTCAGAGGAGAAGCTGGTCTTGGGACCCTGGCATCCCTTTTTCCCCTGCTTTGCATCTGTGATGGTTAATATTGTCAACTTGATTGGATTGAGAGATGCAAACTACTGTTCCTGGGTATGTCTGTGAGGGTGTTGCCAAAGGAGATTAACATTTGAGTCAGTGGGCTGGGAAAGGCAGACCCACCCTCAGTCCGAGTGCTCACCATCTAATCAGCTGCCAGCAAGGCTAGATTAAAGCAGGCAGAAGAAGATGGAAGAGTAGATTTTCTGAGTCTTCCAGCCTTCATGTTTCTCCTGTCCTGGATGCTTTTTGTCCCCAGACATCAGACTCCAAGTTCTTCAGCTTTTGGATTATTGGACTTACACCAGTAGTCTGCCAGGGGCTCTCGGGTCTTTGGCCACAGACTGAAGGCTGCTTCCCTACTTTTGAGGTTTGGGGACTCAGACTGATCCATCACTGGCTTCCTGGCTCCTCAACTTGCAGATGGTCTATCGTGGGACTTTACCACGTGATCCTGTGAGTCAATTCTCCTTAATAAACTCCCTTTCATATATGCATATATCCTATTAGTTCTGTCCCTCAAGAGAACCCTAATACAGCATCCTTGCTGCTACTTAAGGCCACACTACTGCTGGCTTGGCCCACCATCATGTATGTGCACCAGTTTCAAAATCCCCACACCTTCCTTGAGCTCAGGAAATCAGGCTGAAGTGGTCAACTGATTCTGTGAAGAAGTAACATGTACATTGAAATATGAATTAAGGCCAGACATGGTGGCTAATGCTTATAATCCCAACACTTTGGGAGGTTGAGGCAGGAGGATCACTTGAGGCCAGGAGTATGAGACTAGCCTGGGCAATATAGCAAGACCCCTTCTCCACCAAAAAAAGAAAAAATAGCCAGGTGTGGCAGCACATACCTGTGGTCTCAACGTCTGGGGAGGCTGAGGTGGGAGAATCACTCGAGTCCAGAAGGTTGAAGCTGCAGTGAGCCGTGACTGCACCACTGCACTCCAGCCTGGGCAACAGAGTAAGATCCTGACTCTAAAAAAAAAAGAAAAAAAGAAAAGAAAAAAAAGGAAAGAAGGAAGGAAGAAGGAAAGAAGGGAGGGAGGAAGGGAGAGAAGGACAGAGGGAGGGAGGGAGGGAAAAGAAAAGAGAAAAGACAAGAAAAGAAAAGAAGAAAAGACAAGACAAAAAAAGAAGAAAAGACAAGAAAAGAACTCTCCATGGAAGTTAGTTGCTAAGCAAGATAAATCTCTAACTAGGTGAACATGGAAGAGGAGTTTTTCCTTTTAGCAGCTTCTTACCTATTTCACCACTCTGGTAGGTGAGCGCGTGCGCGCACACACACACAAACACACACACACGCATGCACACCAACACACCCCTGCATGCTCCAGAAGAGCAAGGATCTGGAATCCGGCCCCAGCTATTGACAGATGGCCACTCCTATTCTAAATGAACTGCCGGCCTGGGCCTCCCTTTCATCTCCAAGGCCATTTGCCATAACCTCATTCATCTGCACAGACTGTCAGATTCTCTCTCCTGGACTTCTCCTGTGACCTTCATTTTATTCTCTGCTCATGCCTGAGTGTGGCAGCTGAACCGGATTGATTAAAGTTTTAGCCCTGTCTTGTTTTAATTCAAGAGCTAAACTGAGCATTTAAATGAACTCACAGCAGGACTGACTGGCAGGCTTCTGGAATCTGGTTAACATTCCTCCTGAGGCACTCTCACCCGCCTTATCTCTGCTCTGTGTCCGGGTTGGTTTCTGGGTGAAGTTCACTGTTGGTTAAAAATGACATCATCGGAGCAAGTGAGAGTAGATGAATGTTCACTTCCATCCATCCATCCATCACTGGAGCCCCTGGGTTCATTAAGTGTGCACCAGGCACGGTTTCCCTCTACATCCCATAATTCATCCATGGGTCTAATGAACCAAGATGGAGTTTGTCAGTTTCCCCCAGTTTGACTAGATGGGACAATTCTTTGGTGCTCAGAATCTTTTATCCTATATAGAGAGACTGTGAGCAGAAGAGAGAGCAAGTCCCAGCACAGTGACATAAATGTCAGTGCACATCCATTCATCATTTCCACCTATAAACACAGTGCCCTCAAGAGCTGGGACACTGAATCCACACCCTTTCTTCTGCAGGTCTTGGTCTGATTGCTGTTTTTCAGGGAGTCACCTGGCCTTTCCATTTGGTTATCCCACTGTAATTGCCTGTGGTTCCTAAGACAGAGGAAGAAACATGGGCGGACAGGTCTAGGCATCCATCACCCAGGGCTGGATCAGGCATATAACTTCATACCATGCCCCCTCTAAACTCTCAAGGGCCTTCTCATCCATCCATCCATCCACCCACCCATCTGTCCATCCATCTGTCCATCTGTCCATCCATCCATCCATCCATTTATTCATATATTTAATTCAGCAAGTATTTATCACTTGCCTTCTATGTAACAGGTACTGTGCCAGATGCTGGGATTTTTAAAAACATACCCAAGAGGTTGTTCTTATTCAGGGATGATGTGTTAGGCTGTTCTTGTATTACTATAAAAAAACAAAACAAAACAAAACAAAACAAAAAAAACACCTGTGCTGGGTAAATTATAAAGAAAAGAGGTTTCATTGGCTCACGGTTCTGCAGACAGTACAGGAATCATGGTATCATGGTGCATAGTGCCTGCTTCTGGTGATGGCCTCAGGAAGCTTCCACTCATGGCAGAAGGTGAAGAGAGAGCAGGCATCTCACAGGGTGAGAGCAGCAGCAAGAGAGCGAGTGGGGAGGTACCACACTGTTTTAAACAACCAGATCTCACATAAATTCAGAGCTAGAACTCACTAGTCACCAAGGGGATGGCACTAAGCCATTCATGAAGGGTCCACCCTCATGAGCAAACACCTCCACCAGGCTCCACCTCCAACCCTGGGGATTACATTTCAACAGGAGATTTGAAGGGGACAAATATTCAAACAATATCATATGGTAATGCCAGCAGATTAGGAGATGACCACCACTGAAAAGATCGTTTGTTACTTACGGTTCCCAAGAGAAGGGGACATACCATGTCACACCATTCAGAGCCACACAGGGAGGCACCAGGTCGGGTCAGGAGGCAAGAGTGAGGGAAAAGCATGGGCCAAGTTTTTTCTTCATTTGTGGTTCTCAAGGGAAGGAACGGGTGAGGCAGGGCAAGCCGCTGAGCAAGTTTAAGATTGGATAGGCTAAATAACTTCAGCAGGCTCTGCGCTATCAGGGCGGTCCCTAGTTGAATGGTATCTGGCCCTAGGGTGACTTTGGGCAGGAGGATGATGTCTAGGGTTTCCTAAGCCTGATGAAAGGAGCCAGTTTGGGGAACGGACTTGGGATGAGTTGGTTTGCATATCGAAGGCATCTTGCAGGCAAGTTGTTTGCTGCCTGTAGGAAATAGCCAACCCTGGGAAGGGCAGTCCCTTCCTGGGTCCACAGGGCCCCAAGATGTCAAAGCATCCTAAAATACAGAAAACGAAAACGTGATTAATACATAGGGTTTCAGAAAATGATGTCTGCCCTTAAAGACTTCACAGACTTCAAAACAAACAAGAGTTTCATAGCATATGGCACCAGCTGTGCCAGTCACCTTTGGGGATGTCTACCCAGCCACGACCTTCCCATTTGTGGGAAATACACCCCAGATGTAACGGTGGGTTCCTCAGTGGCGGATCAGCTGTATAGTTCATCGCCCATCACCCTGGCAAGGCTAATTGGATCAAGAGGGACACGTGGTCCCAAGCTCAGCCAATCAGATTTCCTCTCCCACTAATTTGGGATTGCGATTGAGAGACCAGTAGACCTGTGCTGACGGGTACAGCAGCAGGTAAACACAGGAGCCAGGAGACAGTCTGACTTCATCGTATATATATCTGCGATCTCCAACCCTGGGTGCACATTGGAGTCATTGGGAGTTTTAAGAAATACTGAGGCCAGAGTCCCAATTCAGACCACTTCAATTGGAATCTCTGAGGGTGGGGCCCAGGTGTCCGCATTCCTGTCCCAAGCCTGACTCACTCCTCACATCCACAAAAGTGAACTGTTCTGGGCCTGCGTCCCCCCTCCAGGAGTACCACCTCTGGCCCTGGCCCTTCTTGTTATGTAGAAGTGACACAGGACTATGCTGTGATGGGTGTGGATATCCCCCCCACACACAGACTCATGGAGCACAGCAACGGGGAGGGGCATGCTTTAAATTGACACATGACATTCGTGCATGTGCACGGGGTGCATATGATCTTTTGTTGCATGTGTAGAATGTGTAATGATCAAGTCGGGATATTTAGAATCTCCATCACCTTGAGCACTTATGGTTTCTACGTGTTGGGAACATTTCAAGTCTGCTCCTTTAGCTATTTTGAAATATACAATTCATTGTTATTAATTACAGTCACCCTACTCTGCTATTGCACATTAGAAATTATTCCTTCTAGCTGGCGCGGTGGCTCATGCCTATAATCCCAGCACTTTGGGAGGCCGAGGTGGGCGGATCATGAAGTTAGGAGATCAAGACCATCCTGGCTAACACAGTGAAACTCCGTCTCTACCAAAAATACAAAAAATTAGCTGGGTGTGGTGGCAGGTGCCTGTAGTCCCAGCTACTCGGGAGGCTAAGGCAGGAGAATGGCATGAACCCGGGAGGCGGAGTTTGCAGTGAGCCGAGATTGCACCACCGCACTCCAGCCTGGGTGACAGAGCCAGACTCCGAGACTCCCTCTCAAAAAAAGAAATTATTCCTTCTATCTAACTGCACATTTGTACCCATTAACCACTCTCTCTTCATCCCCTCCTCCCCTACATACACACAAACCCTTCTCAGCCTCTGATAACTATAATTCTACTTCCTAATAGAGGGAGCATTTTCCTTTTTTAAGACGGGGGCCTCACTCTGTCACCCAGGCTGGAGTGCAGTGGCACCTCCTTAGCTCATTGCAGCCTCCAACTCCTGGGGCTAAGCATTGCTCCTGCCTCAGCCTCTTGAATAGCTAGGACTACAGGTTCAAGCCACCATATCTGGCTAACTTTTTTAAAAAATCTTTTTTTAGAGACATGGTCTCAATATGTTGCCCAGGCTGGTCTCAAACTCCTGGCCTGAAAGCCATCCTCCAGCCTCAGCCTCTGTATTTGTCCATTTTCACACTGCTGATAAAGACATACCCAAGACTGAGAAGAAAAAGAGGTTTAATTGGACTGACAGTTCCACATGACTGGGGAGGCCTCAGAATCATGGCGGGAGGCAAAAGGCACTTCTTACATGGTGGTGGCAAGAGAAAATGAAGAGGAAGCAAAAGTGAAAACCCCTGATAAACCCATTAGATCTCATGAGACGTATTCACTATCATGAGAATAGTACGGGAAAGACCAGCCCCATGATTCAATTATCTCCCCTTAGGTCCCTCCCACAACATGTGGGAATTCTGGGAGATACAATTCAAGCTGAGATTTGGTGGGGACACAGTCAAACCATATCAGCTTCCCAAAGTGCTAGGATTACAAGTGTGAGCCACTGTGCCTGGCCCAAGGGGAGCATGTTAAATCAATGGTCTCCTGCTCAACTTCTGATAAAATGAACGTCCATCAAAAGAACATGTGCAGTGCACCCAAGAAGTCAATACATCAATTAACCAAGAAATATTTTTAGAAAGAGAGATGAATAAGAGGAAAGACAAGGTTCCTGGCCTGGAGGAGCCTTTAGTCCAGCTGGAGAGGGCTTTAGATGTTGATGTAGATATGTACACATAAAAATATGTATGCACATGTACAGTCTACTTGATTAACATTACTAAACCAAGCATGATACACACTGGAAGAATGGCACTCCATGTGATCAGAAAGGAAAGATTCCTCTGGGCTGGGCTAGTCCAGGAAGACTTCCTGAAGGTCAGGGTATTTAACCTGGTCTTGTGAAGAAAGGTGAGTTTCAAACAGGCCCATGGGCCAGGGTTACCAGCTCTGTAGGTGCTTGAAGGACAGCCATCCTCCACACTTGGTGTGCAGAACAGGTCCCATCAGAAGGCGTTCTCAGCCTCAGCCTCAGGCTCTGTCCCCCTCTTTCCCCACAGAGTGAATTTTTCATGACTCAAGCAAACCAGAGAAACTCAAAGGCTTGAACTAATAATGGTGGCCCAAGTCCAAGCATAGATAAGGACCCAGGTGAGGTCCTCTAACCGCTCAGAAAGCAGGTATCAGGAGACAAAGGGGGTGACTGGGTAACTAGGGGAGACAGGAGACCTGGACTCACCCCTGCACAGATGCCACCTTTCAAAGACATGGTGCCTCAAACACTGGAACCCAGATCCACTCACAGTCAAACTGTAACCCTTCTTTAAAATAGCTGCTCTAGGGAGATGGAGATGGAGAAGAGCTCTGCCCTCACGGCTCACTCTTCCCACGAGCTAAGCCTAAATACTGAGGGCCTAGACTAAGAATAAAACCCAGTCATGGCTGGGCGTGGTGGCTCACACCTGTAATCATAGCACTTTGGGAGATCAAGACGGGGGGACCGCTTGAGGCCAGGAGTTCGAGACCAGCCTGGGCAACATAGTGAAACCCTGTCTCTACAAAAAATAAAAATGCAAAACTTAGCCGAGTGTGGTAGTGCACAACTGGAGTCTCACCTATTTGGGAGGCTGAGGTGGGAGGATTGCTTCAGCCCAGGAGGTCAAGGTCGTAGCGAGTCATGGTAGCTCTGCTGCACTTCAGCCTGGGCAACAGAGTGAGACCCTGTCTCTAAAAATAAAATAAAATAAAACCCAGTCATTCCAAAGAAAATGTCTTTCCTCTATTTCCATATTCACAAATCCCTCCCCAGCTCTAGAGGAACTAGCCACCCTGTGAGCTGTCTTCCCTCTGAGTCTCTTCTTCTTTCCCTCAGCTGATCCCTTCACCCTCCCATTCTCCCTCTCTCTATCTCCCTATCTGGACCCCTTATTCCTCAGCTGCAATTATTCGGCCTGCAATTCCTGAGCATCCATCTGGCACTGCTAAGCCTTCAAACCCACAGCCTCAGGTCTGAGTTTCAGGTCAGGAGTGTCCCTTTCTCCTGCCCTCTGTGGAAGCTCGAATTTCTACACATCCACTTCTTTTAAAATATCCCTTCCCTTCACTTGGTTTGGGCATGAGAATAACATCTGGGGACAGATGTGTCTGAATCATCCCGACTTGGGGCTTGGCTTCCCCCTCTGTGCAATGGGGAGTGAACCTTGCTGTCTCTCTAAGGATGACCCCCCACACACACCCCATCCTGAGTATGAGCTTTTTCCAAGACAGCAGGTTATTTGCAGCTGTAGGCTTTCCGCCACACTTGCTTTGCTGCTTCCTGCTGCTGTGAAAGATTTTTCATGCCACTAGGGAGTGTAAATCCTCCTCACACGCATTTTCAAAACACCTTGGAAACCTCTGCATAAATCAGTAGAAGTTCATTTATGGTTTTAGAATATTCTGGCTAATTTATCTGGTTCAGATTTATTTATCTTCAATTTCCAAGCTGGGCCCTGTAGGGCTCCGCTGCATTTCCCTTGCATGTTTGTTTTGACTGGCCCTGAAATTCGAGCCGGCCACAAGGAGACCTTTATCATTATCCAAAGAGATCTTCCCCCTCCCAATGACATAGTCTTCGGAGGTTTGACTCCAAGCCAGTGCTTCTTCCCCTTTTAAAAAACCAACAGCAAAGATAGAGCTCTTCCTTCCAAACCACCAGGTTGCAGCTCTCAGATTTCAGCCTTGCCCTGATGTCCTTCCTCTGAGTGTGAACTCTGCTGTGCCAGCATGTAGGCCCTCCCAATGCCCTCCTGCTGGCCTTACGTGGGCCAGGGCAGGCAGTGTACAGTAACAGGGACCCACTGGTGGTGATGCAATGAAAAAAATAGCCTGGCAGTCTGCATGGTGGAGCTTTCTGGGGCTGTCTTACCAGAAATCACTGTAGAAACATATGGTTGACATTGTTAGCAATTATCCCAGTGTCCAGCCCCAGAGGCCTTTTTACATCCTTCCTGGCTATGGTTTGAGATTTCGTTGTTTGATGCTCCCTGAATTTTGCTCTCTCAGTATTTCCTCTACCCTGAATCATGTGGCCAAGCCTTAAACTCCTGTCCTTTGAGGACAATCAGAATGACACCTTTAGTGTTGGTGCCTTATTTTATGGCCTGATGATCTTGTGCTCTTTAGAGTTCAAAGGTCACATCAGGCAGCAGGCCGGGAGGTTTTTGATGTGACCTTTGAACCCCAGAAAACAAAAGAATGGAGGCCCACAGAGACCATCCATCTAAAAAACGATCCTATAAAGAATGCAACTCAATCAGCCCAGAGCATGCAAATCACATAACATTTTTATGGAGCACCCTGCTAAATCCAAACTTACAGCCAGAAGAAGGGACACAAACCCCATGATCCCAACACATAAATCAAAGCTTGAGAAAAGCAAAGACATGAGTTTACAGCTGGCTAAGAATGGAAGGATTTGCAAGATGTGATTTATACATTTGTTTCCTCCCTTCCTCTCACCCCCGGCCTATACACAAACACACACTCACACACACGCTGGTCAATACCACAGCACCATAGGGAAATCCAGCATTTTCCATTCCAAAGGTTTGCTCTGTGCTAAGTCTACCATGGACAGACATGGGAGAGCAACTGAAGGCCAAGAGCTTCCTCCTTGGCCACCAGAACCATCCTCAGAGACAGGCAGAAAGTCCATAGGGCAGGCAGCCAGACATGGAAGATGAGGACTTGTCATATAGGTAAAAGACTGGCCCCACAAAGAAGGCTACATCCTGTAGAACAGATGTCACCTTCCCTCTGACACAGATTGTCCCTCAACGGTCCTTAATACCTGGCACACATGTCCCCAGGGCAAAGGCCAGACTAATTTCTGAATTGATGAGAAATACTGTTCAAATAGTTAGAGAGCGGAGCAGGAGGTGCTCCTGTTTTTCATGACTATTGAAGTTTTGGTTTTTTAAAGAAGAAATATTGAAGTTTGTTTCTAGATGTCTAGATAACACACTGATGTTGGGTAATAGATCTTGAGAAGTCTGCCAAGTACGTCTGTAGTAGAAAATGTTCCATGGAGAGTGAAAAAGAGATCCCCTTTTAAATGAAGATTGGGTTTGCAATTAAAATGTGTCTTCTTTTCCTTTTTTTTTTGTTTGTTGTTGTTGTTTGTTTGTTTGTTTTTGAGATGGAGTCTGGCTCCACTGCCCAGGCTGGAAGAGCAGTGGCGCAATCTCGGCTCACTGCAAGCTCCACGTCCTGGGTTCATGCCATTCTCCTGCCTCAGCCTCCTGAGTAGCTGGGACTACAGGCGCCTGCCACCAAGTCTGGCGAATTTTTTGTATTTTTTAGTACAGACGGGGTTTCACCTTGTTAGCCAGGGTGGTCTCGACCTCCAGACCTCATGATCCGCCCGCTGTGGCCTCCCAAAGTGCTGGGATTACAGGCGTGAGTCACTGGGCCCAGCCTTTTTGTTTGTTTTTTAGACAAGATCTCACGGTGCCACTTAGGCTGGAGTGTAGTGGCACAATCATGGCTCACTGCAGCCCTGACCTCCTGGGCTCACATAGTCCTCCTGCCTCAGCCTCCCAAGTTGCTGGGACCACAGGTGCATGCCACCACTTTCAGCTATTCTTTTTAAATTTTGTAGAAATGAGGTCTTACTTTGTTGCCCAGGCTAGTCTCGAACTCCTGGTTTGAAATGACCCTCTTGCCTCAGTCTCCCAAAGTGCTGGGATTACAGGCATGAGCCACCGTGCCCGGCCTTTGTGTCTTCTACAGTGAAACTGAAAAATTGTGTAGGTGCATCTAGATCTTCATCATGGATGTTGCATCTGGAAGAATCTCTGCTCTATCTCATCCAGGTTCCTCCTTTCTTTTTAACTTTGCACCAGATTATAATGTCTCTGGGAGCTATGAATATATTTTTAACTCTGTCTGAACAGTAGCACAACTGTGTCTAATAAAAATGTGTCCTCAACAGTGGCACCCCAAAGCAATTTCAGATGAAATAAGAATCCTAGAAAGAACCCTAGAAAGAAAAAATCCTGGCCTTAGAATTGGAAGACCAACTCTGTGTGTGACCTTGGTCAAGTCACTTCACCTCTTTGAGCTCCCATTTCTGAAAGTTGAATGGTCCTGGTGCTTTCTAAGGGCATACTCTGACAGGCCCTGCCCAGGTGCCAGGATAACCTCTATCCTGTCAGATTTAACACTGTATGACGTCTCTGTTTCCGAGGCATCTTACTTAGACACAAAAGAATGAACTAAACAGCTCCTCCTCTACCCCCGTTCTTTAACTCGGGGATTTCACGACCTGCTTCCTACTCAGGAGAGGCAAAATGCAGCCCAGTGGACGAAGCCCCATTTTCCAAATGATTCCTAAGCAGCAAATATGATGTTGAAATGTTCTGCAAAATTCTCCATGCAATTTTGGAAGCCCAGTCTAAGGAATATATATGACTGCTGCTTAAGCTGCTCAAAAATAAGATTAACCAGGGTCTCAGAGTCTTTCTGGCCCAAGACTATTGTGGCTGGAAAAGCTAGGAAATCATCCTGCCTAATCTCGACCTCTTTACACATTCCACACGTGCTCTGGACAGGGGCTAGGGGACACTGACCAGAGGTCACAGGGCTATTAGGCATAGTCAGGACCAAAGCTCAAGTTCCTCCAGTGCCAGCGCACACTAACAGCTACCCCAGTGCACACTGGGCCATGGCACTGGCTTCTTACCCGTCATCTTGGTTCATCTCTACAACAAAACTGTGGGTAGGTGTTACTATCACATGTCAGAGATGAGGCGCTAGAGTCCTGGGAGGTTCAGTTACTTGCTTAAATCTCATAGCTGATACATGGGAGCCGTGACTGGGCTCAGGCTTTGTCTGATTCCAGGCCTGTACTTGTAAGCACCCACCTCAGCCCTGAGACCCCATCTGTATGCCACAGCAGGGAGCCTCACACACAGAAGATGATGAGCCCACAGAACCTAAGCAGGAACAGTCTCAGGGGAAGGGAAGAAGGGGGCATGCAGTGAGTTTAATGGTGCCCCCCTAAGAGATCCTAACACATCCTAACCCCCACAACCTCTGAATGGGACCTGTTTTGGAGAAGACAACTTTGCAGATGCAATTAGTTTAAGTATATCTTGAAAAGATTATCTGGATTATCCAGGTGAGTACTAACCCAAATGACAAACATCCTTACAAGAAACAGAAGAGGAGCTGGGCAGAGTGGCTCACACCTGTAATCCCAGTTACTTGGGAGGCCAAGGTGGGAAGACTGCTTGAGCCCAGGAGTGCGAGGCTGCAGTCAGCTATGATAAAAATTTTAAAAAAATAAAAATAAAAAAATCAGAAGAGGAGAAGACACAGACACAGGAGAGAAAGCCATGTGAAGATGGAGGCAGAGATGGAGCCATGCAGTCACAAGCCAAAGTATGCCTGAAGCCACAAGAAGCTGGAAGACCCAAGGAAGGTTCTTTCCTGGCCCTGCTGTTGCCTTGACTATAGGCTTCCTGGGCTCCAGCATTGTGAAAGAATAAATATCTCTTGTTCAAGCTTTGTAGGCCCATGTAGCATGAGAGTCGTTGGGTACTCAGGCTTCTGAGGCCAAGGCATTAGGTTCTGCAGAACTGAAATCTCCATACTTTGGTAACAATGGGCGTTGAATGACCCCCTGGTAAGTCAGCCCCAGCCCCAGCTGTGCTCTTTACCATTACCCAGCTTCTAAGAACAGGAGGCCTTTTGCCCAGAGGAACTCAGTTCCTTACTCTTAGTAAGATTTGGCAATTGAGCCAAGACATATTCTAGCCTGAGTCAAATATCTAGATTGATAAATTGGCCAAGTCAGGTGTGTGTTGGGGAAAGATTCTTTACTTCGGTGAAGGTTTCTTATAGATCCCTAACCCTCCCAAATATATGTTCAATGCAATTAGATTTTTAAAACTTCCATGATATGGTTAGGCTTTGGTCCCCACCCAAATCTCATCTCGAATTGTAATCCCCATAATCCCCACAGTCCCCATGTGTCAAGGGAGAGACCAGGTGAAGGTAATTGAATCATGGGAGCAGTTTCCCCCATGCTGTTCTCGTGATAGTGAATGAGCTCTCATTTACTATCACGTGAATGGCTGGAGATGACCTGCTTGGGAACTCAGGCCACCTCAGGCGACACCTGGCTACACTCCAGGCCACAGAAACTAAGTTCTAAGCACACCGAGGAACCTGCCCAAGCACGAGAGTCAGGAGCTCTTTCCCCTTCACTTAGCACTTCTCCTTCCTGCCATCTTTTGAAGAAGGTGCCTTGCTTCCCCTTCACCTTCTGCCATGATTGTAAGTTTCCTGAGGTCTACCCAGCCATGCTGAACTGTGAGTCAATTAAACGTCTTTCCTTTATAAATTACCCAGTCTCAAGCAGTTCTTTATAGCAGTATGAAAACAGACTAATGCATTCCATTTCCATGGACATTTTCAGAAACACATTTCTATGTAAAGCAAGTTCCATAGTACAGACTGCCTGCTTGTTCCCAATGGGTCCTTGGCTTATAAGACTACAAAGGCAGGGGTGGCTGGGCTTCCTTATTGAGACTTGCTGGCTCTGAGACAGAACATTCCAGCAGGCAGAAAGGAGATGAGGATGCTTCATCACTTCAGCACTGATGGCCTGAATGCTTCTTCCCTGGATCATTGTATCCTAGAAGCCCAGTTTGAGGATGTGAATAGCAACATCTACCCACAGCTTTGTTGTAAAGATGAAGAGAGATGATGTGTAAAAAGCCAGCACTCTGCACTGGCATGATCATGCAAGGAAGTAGCCATTATTACAGGCTGGGAATGGAGGAACATCTGCTTCAGTCTTGACTGTTCCTAACTAGCCATGTATACCTACTTTTCTCATCTGTATACTGGAATGAGCATCAGCCCTAACTAAGCGGCAGATTTAAAAAGGAATGGCACAGACTACTTCTCAGGCTGTGAACTGGGGACATGAATGTTTTAATTGTCATCCTTGACACTTGATTCCAGTGTTTTCAAACATTTTCCCGGTAAAACAGAGGTCAGATCCTCCTTTGCTCATGCTGCACTCAGGAGCCCAGACAGCACTGTTCTGGTGGCCAGAGATGACCTGCTTGGGAGCTCAGGCCACCTCAGGCCACACCTGGCTTCACTCCAGGCTGAAGAAACTGGTAAGTTCCAAGCACACCGAGGAACCTGCCCAAGCACGAGAGTCAGGAGCTCTGCCTCACATATGTCATATTTTTTCTATCTAGTCAATATATTTAATAAACCCAATTTTTTTTAAAAAAGTAATTGAGTCTCAATCCTCAGAAGCAAATCCTGGAAATATGGAAATATTTGAAGATGCCTCCACAGCAGACAAAAGGAAAGTAGAGGTTTTCAAAAAATAGCAGCTTAGGCTAAGATTTTTGATAAAATGAAATCCTCATAATATAAAATTCCCCAATCCATAGTGAGTAAGACCTCTGACAAGGAAGAGAGTCAGACACTGCTTCCATCTATGAACCATGCTAAGAAATAACTACCTCTGCTCGGGTGCTGAAAACTCCTTGTGAATATCTAGTTTGGAAGAAATATAAAAGCCCTACTCTCCTCTGATTTCAGAATAAAGACTCTTTCTTCCTCTATCCTCTGACTCCCACAAACTTCGGGTGCACACACATGCACACAAGCTCGCACACGCGTGCGCAGACATACACACACACACACACACACACACACACACAAAATGAACCAAGAAAGGAAGGAAAAGAGATCAGGAATGAGAGAGCCCACTAATGGATTGGCTTAAGTATAGAACAACATCCCATCACTGTTCTAGAAAATAATCAATTGAGCACTTAATTTTAAACATAAAAGTAAGCTGCCAGGAGACTGTTAATAGATAACCAAATAAATTAACAGTTGTAGATGGGATTTGAAACCAGGTCAGATTTTCCCCCAAGCTCCAGGCCCTATGCCTACAAAGGACCTCACCAGCTAGGGCACTTGATCTCACACTGTTTCAAAGTGGGAGATCTCCTTTTAGCCAATATCCCTTCTCAGCGGGCTTGTCACTTCAGGGGATTGTTCTTTGTGCGTCTTCCATAAATTTTATAACACCACTACTTTAAAATATTGATGGGCAACTTGGCCTTGGCCCAGGCCCACAGTGGGTTAGCATGGACATGAAAACCTTCAGGAGGGTAGAAACAGGAAGAACACATTCCCCGCTGCCTTTTCGTAAGGGACAATTGTGTAAGTGCGGTGGTTACCTGAGCTGGAGGCCTGCCCAGCTTTGATGGATGGCTCTGCCCTCTGGGAGCCTGCTGAGAGCTGTTTGGGGACAGGAGGGCACTCAGGACACACTCAGGCAATGCTGAGGTACCTGTAGACCCACAAAGGGTAAGTAAAATTCACACATAATCCCCCAAGTTCTTCTAACCTGAAACTCAACTTTTTTAACACTCAGACTCTTCGCAAAGTTATTGATAAGTAAGAACAAATGGCTTTGTCATCTGTCTCTTCTTCCTATGCCCATCAATACATTCTTCCTATAACCCTATCAAAGCAAGTGACCAAAAGTAAATGGTAACAAGGAACAGAAAGAGCAGGACAGGCCGGGTGTGGTGGCTTACACTTGTAATCCGAGCACTTTGGGAAGCTGAGGAGGGAGGATCTCTTGAGCCCAGGAGTTTGAGTCCAGCCTGGGCAACATAGGGAGACACCATCTCTACAGACACACACACAGAATTAGCTGGCCATGGTGGCGCACCTATAGTCCCAGCAATGGTTTGGATTTATGTCCCTACCCAAATCTTGTGTAGAATTGGAGGAGAGGCCTTGTGGAAGGTAATTGGTTAATGGGGGCAGATTTAACCTTGGTGTTCTCACGGTAGTGAGTCCTCACAAGATTTGATGCTTTAAAAGCATGTGGCACTTCTCCCCGCGTTCTCTCTCTCTCCTGCCACCATGGGAAGAAGGTCTTTGCTTCTCCTTCGCCTTCTGCCATGACTGTAAGTTTTCTGAGGTCTCCCAGTCATGCTTCCTGTTAAGCCTGCAGAAACTGCAAGTCAATTAAACCTCTTTTCTTCATAAATTACCCAGTCTCAGGTAGTTCCTTTTTTTTTTTTTTTTTTTTTTTTTTGAGACGGAGTCTCGCTCTGTCGCCCAGGCTGGAGTGCGGTGGCGCAATCTCCACTCACTGCAAGCTCCGCCTCCCGGGTTCACGCCATTCTCCTGCCTCAGCCTCCCGTGTGGCTGGGACTACAGACGCCCACCACCGCACCCGGCTAATTTTTGTATTTTTAGTAGAGACGGGGTTTCACCGTGTTAGTCAGGATGGTCTCGATCTCCTGACCTCGTGATCCGCCCATCTCGGCCTCCCAAAGTGCTGGGATTACAGGCGTGAGCCACCGCGCCCGGCCTCAGGTAGTTCTTTATAGCAGTGTGAGAACAGACTTATACACCCAGCTACTTGGGAAGCTGAGGCAGAAGGATCACTTGAGCCCAGGAGGTCAAGGCTGCAGAGAGCCAGGATTATGCCACTGCATTCCAGCCTGAGTGACAGAGCAAGACCCTGTCTCAAAAAACAAAAACAAAACAGGACAAGAGAACTGATCCCCTAGATTCCTGCCATCACACTCTCTTCATAATACCCCCAGAAAAAAAACTGTAACACCACTAAGAACAATACAGCAAAAGTGTGCTAACCAAATTAATACAAGTTCATAATCACTACCATTTGTTGGGCCTTAAACACACATACATACACTCATGCACGCACACATATCTCAGGCACTGTGCTGTACTAAACATATTACATATGTGCTCTCATTTCATCCTTTAAAAAAAATCTGCAAGAATATCCTTTGATTCACACAACCCACTTCCAAGAACTTTTCCTATGGAAATGATCAAGGACATGCCCGAAGATTTTGTCTATAAGGATATTTGTCAAAACCATTGTTTGGTAATATGTCATGACAAATAAGACATATCCATGAGATGTTAAGTGAGCAATACAGAGTATAGAAGAGAAGAAACATATGAGTATTTTTATAATTTGAAAGTATGCATAAAATATGTGGGGTTAGTTTCATCGAAGTGTCATAAGATCATAGGTAATTTCCCCTTTTTATGTATTTACTTTCTACATTTTAAAATACTTTTTAGTAAGAAAAATATATTTTAAAATTATGACCTAGGTACTATGTCCAAATAGTCATAGATGTTAATGAATAATAGCCCATTACAGATACAAAGCCCTTTCTAGTCTACACTCTGGTTTTACACGTTGTTTCAGATTATTCTCACACCATCTTTTCGGGTGGGCAGAGCGGATGTCTTATAATGCTAAAGATTTTTAAACATACAAAAAATAATCAAAAGGCTGGGTGCAGTGACTCATACCTGTAATCCAGCACTTTGGGAGACAGAGACAGGAGGATCACTTGAGGCCAGGAGTTCAAGACCAGCCTGGGTAATAGAGAGAGACCCCATCTCTACAAAAAATAAAATAAAATAAAAATTACCCTGGTGTGGTGGCATGGACCTGTAGTCCCAGCAACTCAGGAAACAAGCAGGGGGAGCCCAAGAGTTCGAGGCTGCAATGAATTATCATGGCACCACTGCACTCCATCCTGGGACCCATAGGCAGGCATATTCAGGCCTCTCTGAAGAGAGGCTGCCCTTGGCTGTGGTCCACAGGGTGTCTACTGCAGGCTCCCAATGTCCATTGTCGTGGTGCTCCAACTGCCGTGAAAATAATCTGCCTTATCACTCCTTGGACTCCCCATGCTCCCATTACTTCTTAGGTTCTGCAGGATTCCGCTCTGTTCAGGACAGGAAGGGAGCAAGGTGGGGGATCATTCCAGAGTACATAGTGAGTGAGACCTCTGACAAGGAATAGAGTCAGCAATGTGCAGCCACTGGCTCGTGCTGGCTCAGGAAAGCCAATCTTTAACAACTCTTCCCAAGTCTGTGATCAGTGATGTCATGTTGGTAGCCTGGAGCCAGCAGCAATGGTAATATTTACACCATGGAAATCAGCAAATGCTACAAATCAGGGTTCTCTTTTCTCCCAGAGAGACTGTGATTAAACATTGATCAGCACACCACTGGATGCAGTCTCAGAAAGAAAAATTCATACATTCAAATGAAGGTCAATCCCTCCAAACCCCTGCTTTAATTAAGCAAGACTATAGCTGCACAGACTAAGCAGGCCGTGAATGTTGTTTTAAAATAACATATTATTCAGAAAACTGTTTTTGTATTTACAAACCTTGCCAATCTACCCACTCTCCATGCCTCCTTGAGGTCACTTAAGTTTGTTTCCTTTTGCTGTGTTTCCCCCAGAGTCAAAGAAAGCCTACCTAGTACACTTCTTTTGTTTCTAAACTTGATGGACCCAAACAGTGGTTGAAACAGACAGCCAAGCTCTGAGCACGGACAGAAGAATGTCCTGCTCACCACGGCGGTGCCTACGTTTGTGTCAGACAACCCAGTCTTGCCCCGAAGTCAGACTTCCCTGAGCCGAAAGGTTTGATAACATGTTTGCCCCTGTCCTCCGGTTTCCCAGTCGTTGGGCCGCCTTCACTGGAGCTTCATGAACAGTCTCTACGCTGCACTTGAGGACGACTCAGCTGGGAATGAAACATGATCAGGAGATAATTTGGCCCAGATGGCTCTAATGCAGGCAGGAGCACTGGGCTGTGCATATCCTCAGTCTAGGGAAACCCATTTAAGTTTTTTTGAGAAGGGAATGTAACCAAGCAGCCACATACCCTCAAAATGCTACCTCATGTTTTACAGCTGCAATGAGATGTCTGATCACGCTCCTGGAGAGACATTCGGCTCTTAGGAAGGTAAAGCCAGGCTAGCCTTTGCTGCTGGATGCCACCATGGCTCGGCTCGGTACTTGGCCTTTGGGGGATTCAGAAGGGATCAGGCATAAAACCTGGAAGATATTCCTAGGTCCTGAGGATCAAGGGATTGCAGCAAAGGATAACACCGCAACTGGAAACAGGAGAAAGCATCGCAGAAACAGAGTGAACCAGGAGTTCAGAAGAGGCCCAGGGAGAGGCTTGGGGGACACAAAAAGGTGAAGTGGCTCCTTAGAGTAGCTGTCTTTATTTGCATCAAGCTCTGAGGCATAGGAAGGGGTTAGAATTCACTATTTGACACAGTTTTTCTTTTCTGTCATGCAATTGACAGGAGAAAGATACAAATAAAAGAAGCTGCTTGTCCGGGGAGTGTAGCTTGGGGAAAAGATTGCTTTGCTTCAGGAAAAAACAGGACCGTGCAACCCAAGGCTCTAGAGTATGATGGGGACACGCTGGTGAGAGGGTCTCACCAGTGTTAGTGAAAAGGTAGGCTGCCTTCAGGGACCAGCTGGAGCTCTACAGCTCTGCACACAGTGTTCCATCTCATTCTCTCCAGTGTAGTCATGGATGCTCTAAGGTGTAGCCCTCCCAGAGACCACTTGGTTCCCCACTGCCTAATCTTGAGAATGAGCAACTCATGCTCCCCTGAAGTGGGTGCTTCCCCACTGCTGCGTTGGTCTTCCCCCGTGACAAGCTTCCAGGGCTGGATGAGATGACCAGTAAAAAGTGGACTTTTCAGACAGACCTATGTCATCGGAAAGATTTTGTCCCTTTTAGCCCTCTGGCTGGAACTTGGATTGGGAATCACTTTCCATGGATTCTGTTAGTACTACAGGCCCATGGGTTTTTGGTGAAGACAAATGGAATCTTACTAAAAAGACTTATGCCCCTAGTCACAGTGGCATAAGTAACTTTTGTTCCAAATAGGCAGTGATTATAGAAAGAGCTCCCTCTCTATATAATGAATGTGGAGAACAATACAAGTATGCAATCCATAGATATCATTTCCATCACCCCAGAAAAGTTCCCTTTTAGGCAGCAGTGTGCTGGTAAATGGTGACTAACCAGCAATCTGAAAAACAATCTATGCATATATGTATGTGTGTGAGTATGTTTACTATAAATTTTACTTATCTAAAAGATGTGGAACACACAATTTACAAATAATAATAAAATACACAATACGCCTTCCTATAACTTCCATATAGCCAATTCATCCTCAGAGAATGCTTTTGTTTATTTTTACCAAGCTCTTGTATCTGCAACCAACCTGTGGTTGCAATTGATCAACAAGCATAGTTCACACATATTGACGTTTTGTTTACATTAATGAGCAATGCAAATATGAAACAACTTCTTTGTATGCCAATACTTCACTTGGATAAATTGAATAATAGTTTTCAAATAATGGAAGACTATTCAAGTGTTCAAATGTTTGTGAATATCATAATGTAATGATTGCAGAAACAATTATGTATTGTGTTATTAACGTTTTTCCTATCACTTTCCTAAGTCTAAATAATCAACAACAAAAAATAGGGTGAAATAATTAGAAAGCAATGAATTTTGAATGTTACCTTTGTTTTTTAACATAACTTAATTTGAAAGTTATGATTTTAATGATTGTTACCTTGAAATTTTAACAATGGGTTCACAAGTCAACATGTCATGTGCCTGTGCAATCAATTCCATGCCATATGTACACTTTTTTAAAATAAGGAAAAGGTAAGAATACAGAATACTCCATGGATTCTCGAGGTTAAATCTATTCTTTCTTAACATGACAGGAAAGTAAAGCTTTGACCCGCAGGGGAGACTGGAGAGGGGAAGTTGGCCTGTCTGTTCCCATTTCAGGAGCAGGCTAAGAGTGTGTTTCTGGAAACAAAACTGTCAGAGTGAAGGCTCACAAGAAATCAGAAACAGGACCCAGATCTCTGCCCAAGGGCTTATAACAAAGGCTCAAAGCAGGCTTTTTTCCAAAAATGTTTTTAATTCCAACATCCATCTTAATGGCCTACTGTAGCCTAATTTAGCCAATAGCTGTTACTCTAAAAATGGAAGCTAATGATTCCAGCTAAAAACAATGAAGCCGGTACTATCACAGCATGTTTGTAAGAAACTGATTATCACGGGGTGCATTTTTCACTGCCTTTTCCCTGAAGAAAGGCTTAATACGAGTCCCACATCAAAAGCAAAAGCATTTCTTTCCTTAATGGGACCCCAGGATATTAGGAATGTGTTCTCTAGAGGCAACCACCTCCCAGAACTACTCTTTGGCAACAGGAATCACACGCACAGAGCAATGGTCTGGCTGAAGGGCACCACCTGCTATTGCTCATCATGTTTGTGCCATTCAACAAATATTAGCAGCATCAGTTTACTTCTTTGAAGCACCCGCAGGTACCCACCTCTTGGCTCAGTGCTATATAGCTCTACACACTTTATATTTTGCAAAATACGTGCATATGGAAAAGAAGCACAACATTTAAGGCAAAGATCAGATACTAGCCATATTGCACAAGTGTCTAGCTGGATAAAATTGGCAAAAAAAAAAAAAAAAAAAAAAAAAGAAGGTGTGTAAAATGATCAAACGTTTAGATATGCAGGATAAATATGTTCTGGGCATCTAACATACATAATGAATACAGTTAATAATACGTTCAAGTACTGTGGACGGTTGTCCTTCTATATTGGTGGGGATTGGTTCCAGGATTCCCCACAGATACCAAAAGCTATCCACGCTCAGGTCTCCATTTTGCTATTCACAACTGAGAAGCTGAATAATCTTAATTTAGGGCATTCGTTTCTGGGTGAGCTCAGAATTTTCTTATTCCAGCTTGTGACATCTCAACGAATTTCCCATTTCCACCTAACGTTGGGAGCCACGTTCCTGGACCACCCTCAGGATTCTGGCAGAAGGGGTTTCAGGTGAGGTGAGAAGGTTACGAGGCGAACTGGGGTTCCTGGCTAATGCACCTGCGCCTTCACGCGCCCCCGTGCGCACACACAGACGTTCACTTTCTTACAGCTGCCAGCTTTAAATTCTGCCTTCCCGCTGTGGTTGTGTAAGGTGGTCCTTTGCCGCATCGAGAGGAGCTCATACGGCAGAGCCCCTAGGAAAGCAGGTGCCCTCAGTCACCTACATTCTGAGCAGGGGCAGGTCTTGCTGCTCACTCCACTTGGGGTATGGTTGCAGCCTACTCTCTCACCCTTTGTGGGTAATGATAATACACTTTGGATAAACACAATGGCATCAGATTGAGCAAAGGATCTCTTTTACATGCCTTAAGTTAGGGTTTCTTGAATTAAATACCCAAGTTATGAGAAAGATTAGCCCACCTCTTGCAACAGCGTGAGCTGGAGGTGAGACATGGAGTCAAAGATTATTCTGTAACTTTAATGAGTAGGCCGGGGGCGGTGGCTCACACCTGTAATCCCAACACTTTGGGAGGCCAAGGCGGGCGGATCACGAGGTCAGGAGTTAGAGACCAACCTGACCAAGATGGTGAAACCCCATCTCTACTAAAAATACAAAAATTAGCCGGGTGTGGTGGCGGGCGCCTGTAATCCCAGCTACTCAGGAGGCTGAGGCAGAATGATCCTTTGAACCCGGGAGGCGGAGCTTGCAGTGACCTGAGATCACACTGCACTCCGGCCTGGGCAACAGAGCAAGACTCATCTTAAAAAAAAAAAAAAAATTTAAGGAGTGCCCTGCCAGGTTTGAGACTTGCACAGGGCAGTGCCGTAGCGCATGGGGCCTGTAGCCCCTGTATTTTGGCCAATTTCACCCATTGGGAATGGGAACATTTACCAGTGTCTGTACTCCCATTGTATCTTGGAAGTAACTAACTTGCTTTTAATTTTACAGGCTCACAGGCAGAAGGGACTTGACTTGTCTCAGATGGGACTTTGAACTTGGACTTCTGGGTTAATGCTGGAATGAGTTAAGACTCTAGGGCACTCTTGGGAAGGCATGATTGGTTTTGAAATGTAAAAAGGATGTAAGATTTGGGAGTGGCCAGGGTGGAATGATATGGTTTGGCTCTGTGTCCCCACCCAAATCTCATCTCAAATTGTAATCCCCATAATCCCCACGTGTTGAGGGAGGGACCTGGTGGAAGGAGATGGAAACATGGAGACAGTTCCCCCCATGCTGTTCACGTGAGTTCTCACAAGATCTGATGGTTTTATAAGGGGCTCTTCCCCGCTTGCTTAAGCTCTCACCTGCTGCCATGTAAGACATCTGCTTCCCCTTCTGCCATGACTGTAAATTTCCTGAGGCTTCCTCAGACATGCCGAACTGAGTCGATTAAACCTCTTTCCTTTATAAATGACCTAGTCTCCAGTATTTCTTTCTTTTTTTTTTTTAATTTTGGGACAGGGTCTTCCTCTGTCACCCAGGCTGGAGTGCAGTGGTGCAATCACACCTCACTGCAACCTCAAACTGCTGGGCTCAAGCAATCCTATCAACTCGGCCTCCCAAGTAGCTGGAACTACAGGCATGTGCCACTGCACCCAGTTAATTTTTACTTTATTTTTTGTAGTGTCAGGGTCTGCTCTTGAACTCTTGGGATCAAGCAATCCTCCAACCTCGGCCTCCCAAAGTATTGGGATTACACATGTAAGGCACTGCACCCAGCCTCACATTTAAAGGGCTTTTAATAATGAGTTCAGGGCGAGGTGCAAAGGCTCATCCTTGTAATCCCAGCACTTTGGGAGACTGAGGCAGGAGAATCCCTTGAGCCCAGGAGTTCAAGACCAGCCTGGACAACATGGCAAAACCCCATCTCTACAAAAAATATAAAAACATAGCCCGGCGTGGTGGTGCACTCCTATAGTCCCAGCTACTTGGGAGGCTGAGGTGGGAGGATCACTTGAGCCCAGGAGGTGGAGGTAGCAGTGAGATGAGATTGCACCACTGCACTCCAGCATGGGTGACATACCAAGACTCCATCTTAAAACAAACAAACAAAAAAACCACACAGACACACAATGAGTTCATTTCTCCTGATACGAAGCAAATTTTGAGTGCAAAAATTTATTTTGATTTTTAAAAAGTTAAGTAGTTCAAGAATGCATATTCTTTAGAAGAGCACTGTACATGCAGGGACCTGGGCTTTGTCATCACCCTGGCAAGCTAAACTGCCTTATCAACACTGTCCTTGCAAAAGTTTCTGTAGAAGTTGATTCATCAATTAAAAGCCAGATCTGTACATACACAGCTTGAAGAAACTGCCAGTAGTTCATTGCTAATTACCAGGGCAAACATTTATATTTCAAAGTTGACCAACAGGATGACAATTCTCAAAGCTCTAAAAAGATTTTGTCCTACCAAACGCTAGCCTAGTGTATGACCATTACCCATCCATGGTTAGTAACAATCAAAGGCAACACTTCTTACAATAACAAATGCCATGAGCAGCGATCTCAATAAATCCCTCTTTGCTTGTCACTATAGAAGCTGGTCTGGTCCCAACTCAGCATCAAAGACATTAGTCCAGACAGCACAGCACTATCAATTCAGGTTTCCTTAGCAAATAATTGCTTCAGATATACTCGCAAGGGCTCCTGAATTGGAGTTTTCTGCATCATCTCCATAAAAATATTTTTTCAACTCTATTTTTTCATTGAAGAATTGAAGCAGACCCTTGGGAAGTTTCCTTAAGGACAGAGAGTGGCTCCAAAAATAACCTTCCTTCCAGCACCACACCACTAACCCAGAAAATTCACTTCATGGTGGGATGGTCACTCAAAGTCTACTGTGAACCTAATCCCCAAAAAGGTAATGGAAAAGGCTAGAGGAAAATCCTAAACAATTACCTATGCCTTGTATCTTTCTCTAGAAACACAATCTACTAATAGAAAAGCCAATTTGAAATTTTAAAAACGTAGACGCTACTCAAGAGGGCTGTCATCAATGTGGGAAAACTATTAACTCAAGTGGATGGCATGCTTCTTTTCCTGTATTAAAAAAGCTCCTCACATTTAATAATTTTGATTCAGATCAGTTTTGATTTAACAGACAGCATGAATCAAACTTAGTTAAAACCTTAATGATGTTGTAATATTTATTAACACAGCCAATTCTCAATATAGAAGATTTATGACTCTTCTAATACTTCCAGTTTATAAACTGGCTTAAAAAAAATGCTCTTGGCCGGGCGCGGTGGCTCAAGCCTGTAATCCCTGCACTTTGGGAGGCCGAGACGGGCGGATCACGAGGTCAGGACATCGAGACCATCCTGGCTAACATGGTGAAACCCCGTCTCTACTAAAAAATACAAAAAACTAGCCGGGTGCGGTGGCGGGCGCCTGTAGTCCCGGCTACTCGGGAGGCTGAGGCAGGAGAATGGCGTAAACCCGGGAGGCGGAGCTTGCAGTGAGCTGAGATCCGGCCACTGCACTCCAGCCTGGGTGACAGAGCGAGACTCCGTCTCAAAAAAAAAAAAAAAAAAAAAAAAAAAAATGCTCTTTTGAAGAACAAAGTTTCAGGGTTTCGAGGAAAGAGAAAGTGATCTTTACAAATTCTTCATGGAACCACCAGGGATCTTTTAATCCATTTAAATATAAATATAGATCAGATTCTTATCTGATATTATTTCTATACTTTTAGAAACACTTTTCACTCACAAATCCAAGGTGACAATGGCATTAAAAGTATCTACAGGAAAGAACTAGCATGAAATACAATATTATGATAAGAGTTATTTCATTAAAGTGGTTACTTTTCTGTATTCTTCACGTGTCCCATTGTATGGCTATAAATTTTATAATAAAAAATTGTAAATTAAGAAAGAATTCAAGTAAAGTATTGTTGACCTTATAAAATAATTCTGAAAACAAATGTGTAGAAAGAAGGCATTCAACTAAGAGAAGAGGCTGGATGGAAAGGCTTGCAAGGTCCCGGGAGGAGCTCCAGGGTGAAGCTCATCATTAGCCTTTCCAGCAGCACTGTCCTTGGAGACCAGAAGCAGTGGGAGCCCCTTCCCTGTGGCACCACAGACTCCCACCAAGGCACGTATCATGAACACTGTACTGGCACACGTTTATTAGCCTTGGGTGTACGGGGAATCTCAGAGCACTTCTGAAATCCGTACTTGATTCCTTTTTACACTGAGGAAAGTGAGATTAATACACAAATACCAAGATGACCAATGAATGGTAGCCTCGCTGGCAACAGCAGCCATTGCAGGTGACCAAATTGCCTCCATAGCACTCTGTAACCCACGGGCTTAGGGAAAGATTAAGTAACATTTCTTTTTCAAATTCACTTCAAATACTCAACTATGTTCATTTAAAAAACAGCAACTATATGCACAAGACTGAACAGATCTCATTCACACTGCCAGCCCCCAGAGGGGACTCTCTGCACCCTTCCAGGAGGCTTTTGGGCAATAAAGCCAAAATCTGTATTTAAAATAGGTGTGTCTAATAAGATACATTTTTAACTCATTTATTAAAGGTCCTAGTGGACATTCCAAACTAGTAACATACCTAGAGAGAGAAAATACAAATGCTTACTGTATAGTTATACAAAAATAGAAATCCATCAATAGAGTCCAATCCTCAAGAAATCACACAATTTGTACCCAAAGGCTGTGTATATATATCAAGGAAGGATGACTTCCTTCCTTGATCTCTAAATAACATCCTCTCCACATCGGAGGTATCTGGAGGTTGGGCATTTGCCTAATGCCACAGGGTCCACCAGCGGGGGTCACAGCTGCTGGCTGGTGAAGAAGGATTTAGTCTCCCTGCAGACAGGATTGACACAGAGCGGACAGCTCAGGGTCAGCTGCTTGGAACACAGCTCGTTTGACTGGATGTGCGAATGCACCAAGTCGGCCAGGGCCTGGAAGACAGACAAGAGGCAAAGAAGCATGAGAAGCACAGGGTCTGCTCGTCTGCCATGCCCCCTCCTCCAGCTGCCCAGGTCAGCACTCTGGCTTGGGGTTTCTTTTCATCCAAGTGGTGAGCCCTTTGAACCAAATTCTACAGCATCTTCCTTTCCTGAGAATCCTCAGCTTAGAGAAAGTTAAAACAGAGATTTCAGGAAATGAAAACCTCTTACCCCACCCACTAGGCCTTTTCTCTGGAAAGCAGGTTTTAAATCAGACATAGTTATAGGTGGGTAGAAATCAGAAAATTGGGGCTATCTGAAGGAAAAAAGACTGAGCAGATAAGGAATTCGATTTTATTTTTGTAATTAATTGGAACTCCAAATGTTCTAATATGTGAGAAAAACCAATATTCTGCAAGAGTTTCTCAGAGGATTACTCTCTGGTATGTTCTACTAAAACGGTTGTAACACTGTAGATACCTTAGAGAACAATGGATTTCCATTAAGAGACTCAGCTCTTCTGATGTTTTCAACTCCACACTGAATCAAATGAGAAAAGGGAGGAAAAACACAGACATACTTTATTTTTCTTTTTTTTTTCCCAAAGAAACTGCTACAAAAAAATAAATACACACAGACACACACATACAATTCAAAGTCTGACTTCAACTGTTCACAGACTGCTCATTAATGAAAAACAGTCACAGGGTAGGGCTGTATGTTGATTTTGTTATCATAAACTATTCCTCAATTCTTATGTCCTTCCCCTTCCCGTTACCGTCCTACAGGTGGTTTGTTTGCAAATCCTTTTTGTGGTTACACTTGATGAAATTCTCAAGCAATTTAAATCTGTTTGCCATTCTTTTTTTAATTCTCTTTTACTAGTGTAAAATTTTACATAATTTTACAGACTCTAAGTAGAATGTTGCTTTAAACATAGTTTCATACTTGTTTTGATCCCAAGTGCCAAAATGAAGTAAATTAACTTATTGACTATAAAATGTATATTGGACCTACACTGGATCCAATTCAGAGATGGGTTTAAATATATATATATATATACACACACACACATATATACACACATACACACACACACACACACACACACACATATATATATATTTTGAGATGGAGTCTTGCTCTGTCACCCAGGCTGGAGTGCAGTGGCGCGATCTTGGCTCACTGCAACCTCTGACTCCCGGGTTCAATGGAGTCCTTTCTCAGCCTCTTGAGTAGCTGAGATTACAGGCACCCACTACCATGCCTGGCTAATTTTTGTATTTTTGGTAGAGGCAGGGTTTCATCATGTTGGCCAGGCTGGTCTTGAACTCCTGACCTCAAATGATCCACCCGCCTCAGCCTCCCAAAGGGCTGGGATTACACGTGTGAGCCACCAAGTCTGGCCTGAAATATATTCTTATGGAGAAAAATCTGAAGGAAAACAATGGGAGGATTGTTTCAGTACCATCCCTACTTCTGGCTCCAAAAATATCCACTGCCTAATAACTGAAAACAATCTAATCATGATTTACTCAGGTAGTTAGGATTCTTCTCTCTCCCTTTTCTTCTGATAGCTTTTCAGTTACTTGATATTTTTTATTTATCTATTTATTTATTTATTTATTGAGAGGGAGTTTCGGTCTGTTGCCCAGGCTGGAGTGCAGTAGTGCAATCTCAGCTCATTGCAACCTCCACTTTCCGGATACAAGTGGTTTTCCTGCCTCAGCCTCCCGAGTAGCTGGGATTACAGGCACGTACCATCACGCTTGGCTAAGTTTTGTATTTTAGTACAGATGGGGTTTCGCCATGTTGGTCAGGCTGGTCTCAAACTCCTGACCTCAGGTGATCCACCTGCTTCAGCCTCCCAAAGTGCTCAGATTACAGGTGTGAACCACCACACCTGGCCTCAGTTACTTGATCTTTTAGATTAGCATTAACATCAGGAGACTGGCATGGGAAAAACATTGAGATTCAGCAAACACATGGATCTCAACTGAAGAGGCTATATTCTCAAACTTCATATAAAAGTCAGTTACAACAGAATAACCAGTGTTGGTGAAGGGCATTCTCCAACAATGTTGATGGGAGAGTCGTCAGCGATACACTAACTAGAAAAATATATATCAATACTGAAATTCCGTGTGCACCTGTAGTCCCAGCCACTCAGGAAGCTGAGGAGAGGATCACCTGAGCCCGGGATTTTGAGGCTGCAGGGAGCTATGACTGTGCCACTGCACTGCAGCCTGGTTGAGAGAGCCAGATTTCATCTCTAAGCAAATTTATAAAATCATAACAAATTTAAAATAAAAAATTGCTTTCCAAATATATTGGTATAAACTATATTTTCACTGAAGTTTTAGCAAGTTCACAATTAGCCAGCTCATGGAGAGATACAGAAGGCATCTTTAAACAAAATCCATAGACAATGCTGCAACCACTTCTTAGCCAGTTACAACTTGCCTGCAAATCCTGTGTCAAAACCACTGACAAGAAACTTATGTGCTCCCTAACTTCACCCACGTCTGATTGATGTCCAGCATGGAAATTCAAATTCCATGGGGGTCGGGTGTTGGCTCAAGTTCTGCCCCCACCCACTCTCCCCCCTGCCCTCCACCTGCTGCCCAGTCCCAGAGAGGGTGAAGTCTCCTGCAGGCTGGGCCTCCATCTATCACACATGGGGTGACCAGGGCCAGAAACTCTGGCAGAGAGGGAGAAAAGGGTTTCTTGGGTCCCAATGCTTCCACACTTCCCATAAAAACAAAGCTATAAATTCGACATAGGTTTTAGGCCGGCTCTCAAAAGGCAGGACATAGATGAACAATAGTTTTTCTCCATCCTGCATGACAATTCACATCCATCTCATATTACAAGACACCAAAGATGGTATTTGTTATTTCAGTAATCAGATTGATCACAACACGGCAGCAAACAGCTAATTAAGTGAGTGCATAAAAGAAGCCAAGGAAATCACACCACACATTGCTTCCACGTTCATTTCACGCTCTTCTCTTAAATGACAATGACTCCTATATGCCTTGACACCCAACAAGAAGCCATGTAATAGCCCTGAGTAAAGGTCACTATTAGGCAAATTAAAGAAATTATAAAACAATAAAATGTTTTCCTTTGGAATTAGTGAGAAGTACATTTCTTTTTTCTTAAAGAAGTGTAGTTGTTATTACTTTCGAGTAGCCCAGTAACTCAAACAAAATGATGTCAGCCACAGTGATCCCTGGGGCACCTGGTTTAAGGAAAGCACAGGTTTCCCCTTCTACTGCATGGAATTAACTCAATGTGTTGAGATTATTACTCAGATGAATTATTATTCAGGAGAATGAGGACACTGTACATGCAAACAAATACAGTAAACAATATTTTGAATGACACATTAGTTAGTTGCAGAGAAAATTTCCTTTTAAAACAAGTCGTGATGGGATAAAGGCAGATGGGTGCATTTACCTCCTTGGCTAAAACTTGAGAGTACTCGATGTCCAGTTCATACAGCGTTTCAATATGGTCACTGGTAAACGCTATCGGAACCAAGAGGATATTCTTCCTCCCCCTCTCACAAAGCCCTTTGATAGATTCGTCTGTTTGAGGACCCAACCAGGGCATTGGACCAACCTATGCAAAAGGTAGACGAATGTGTAAGTGGGCCATGCCTCCTGATGGTCTGTAGTACCCGTTTGCCCCCCTGGGCACACGCACTGCCCACTGGGGGCAAGAGCCACTCTTTACACCTGCTTGAATGGATTTTGATATTTTCACATGGAAACTTGAATCCTAGTAGTTGCCTGAATATAAATAAATAACAGTTTCTGTCATTGCAGCTAAAAGTAAAATATTAAACCAACAGAACTCCACAAGTCACTTGATTTCCCCTTCTATCTTACTTGCAGATTCTTTCTGCCCATGGTGAGCCTTCAGGTTATGGAAGAGCCTGTCTATGTGTAAGAGCCAAATCTAACCATTTTACAACTCATAAAATAAATTTTACCAAAAGAGCTGGCTGCCCACCAGTGTGGAAGCCACCTACCTTGGATTGCCACACCAGTCGGTAGGGGTTGCAGTACCCCAGCCTTTCCATGACATTTTGGACAGTGGCGCTTACCTCCTGAGGATATGGGTCGCCTCTGTTGACCACCTGCAGTGGAGACACAATGGGTGTTCAGTCATTAACACTGGGAAGGCCCCGAGAGCCTCTGACTATGTGCTGACATGGTGTGAGCGCTGGAACAAAGTCTTCCCTTTCTGTCTCCTGCACCAATGATGACATGGTCTGAGTTCAATCACCAAACTTCCTTAGTTCCACTTCATCATCAGCCAAAGAAAAACACCGCACTCAATCATCTCTAACGTCCCTAAGAGGGTGGAGAATTCTATGTTCCATGTTATTCATGGGAGACTCACAAGATCTAACTAAGGAGGATGGTTCTCTCTCCCTCATCTGAAATATGAAGATGACACAGAAAAGCTGGGCAGGATGGGAACTTCTACCTGGTGGTCATGAGAGTAGCTGATTTCACAACAGGAACTGAAACAGTGCTGCACGGACAATGTAAAGAACGGCTGGATTTACGGTAAACCCTGGTGGAATTAGAGGAGGAAAGCAGCAGCACATCAGTGCAGGTTACGGGCACCTCCAAGAGTATGACCCACACCTTCCACTTCCTCTCTCCCCACCCTTCCTGCAACAATGGACAACAGGCAAACACTCTGTGCACAGCAAATGTTTTATACATGATCCCTTGTTAATACCTTTGAAAATTTTCAAGGCAAATTTTAATGCTTTAAACATTCACTGTGTACTGACTCCCTAGCCCTCACCTGGCTTTATTTTCTTCTGTAACATCTATTATATGCTAATCTACCGTACCATTTTCGTATGTATTATGTTTATTACCTTTTCTCCCTACTCTCTGCAGACAAAGATTTTTCTGTTTTCTTCATTCCCATACCCTATGATATGGCTGGAAACAGTGACTGGAATATAGCAGGTGCTCAAAGAATACTGGTGAAATGAAGTATACTGACAGGTCAGGCACAGTGGCTCATGCCTGTAATCCCAGCACTTTGAGAGGCCGAGGCGGGCTGATTGCCTGAGGTCAGGCGTTCGAGACCAGCCTGACCAACATGGTGAAACCCTGTCTGTACTAAAAATACAAAAATTAGCCGGGTGGGGTGGCACACACCTGTAATTCCAGCTACTCGGGAGGCTGAGGCAGAAGAATTGCTTGAACCCAGGAGGCAAAGGTTGCAGTGAGCCAAGATTGCCCCATTGCACTCCAGCCTGGGCGATAGAGCAAGACTCCATTTCAAAAAAAAACAATTACATATATACACTGACAAACTATTTTATGATTATTACCACTGGTCTGTTTAAAAGCCATGGGAGGCATAAATGTAGAAGGAATGAAGGAAACACAAAGTTGCCAATAGGACAGCAATGCAGTAATTGCTACAAACATGATCTACCCTTGGATGCTAAGATTAGGGGCAAAGTATAAGGAATAACCGAATCTCTATATTGTCTCAAAGTATCTCCTCCAAGATATTTTTAATTACAAAGAGAAAAATAGTAATTTTAGGATGGATCAACACAGCAGACACACCCTTAAACAAGTCACCAGGGATCACATCACCAGTAGAAAAGCACATTGACATCACAGACCCCCGGGTGTGATGCACAGAGCAGGGCCCCACACCCCTGTGGGTTCTTGCCAATGATGCATAACCGCAATCTAATCATGAGAAAACTTCAGACAAACCCAGATGGAGGGACGTACCACAAAACAACTGACATCCTAAAAATGACTCCTCAAAAATATCAACGTGTGGCGGGGCATGGTGCCTCACACCTATAATCTCAGTGCTTCGGGAGGCTGAGGTGGGTGGATCACCTGGGCCCAGGAGGTCGAGACCAGTCTGGGCAACATGGCGAAACCCTGTCTCTTCAAAAAATACTAATGTTAGCCAGGTGGGGTGGTGTGCGCCTGTAGTCCGAGCCACTCAGGATGCTGAGGTGAGAGGCTCACCCAAGTCTGGTAGGTTGAGGCTGTAGTGAGTCGTGACTGCACCACAGCACTCCAGCCTGAGTGACAGAGATCCTGTACCAAAAATAAATAAATAAACAAATAAAATCAAGGTGATGAAAGAGAAGCCAGGTATCAGGACTGTCACAGATTGGAGGGTGCTGAGGAAAGCCCACAGCCACATGCAGTGTGGGACCCTGGACTGGGTCCTGGGAGTGAGAAAGGACATTTTTGGAAACACAAGTGACATCCACATGAAGCCTGGAGTGCAGTTAGTAGTATTGTGCCAGTGCTGGTTTCTCAGTGTCGGTAGCGGTACAATGGCTGTGTAAGATGTTAACACTGTAAGATGTTAACACTGGTCTCAGTGTCGTGTAGCGGCACAATGGCTGTGTAAGATGTTAACACTGGTCTCAGTGTCGAAGTGTACAATGGCTGTGTAAGATGTTAACACTGGTCTCAGGTCGGTAGCGGCACAATGGCTGTAAGATGTTAACACTGGTCTCAGTGTTTAGCGGTACAATGGCTGTGTAAGATGTTAACACTGGTCTCAGTGTCGGTAGCGGTACAATGGCTGTGTAAGATGTTAACACTGGTCTCAGTGTCGTGAAGTGTACAATGGCTGTGTAAGATGTTAACACTGGTCTCAGTGTCGGAAGGTACAATGGCTGTGTAAGATGTTAACACTGGTCTCAGTGTCGGTAGCTGTACAATGGCTGTGTAAGATGTTAACACTGGTCTCAGTGTCGGTAGCGGTACAATGGCTGTGTAAGATGTTAACACTGGTCTCAGTGTCGGTAGCGGTACAATGGCTGTGTAAGATGTTAACACTGGTCTCAGTGTCGGTAGCGGTACAAATGGCTGTAAGATGTTAACACTGGTCTCATGTGTCGGTAGCGGCACAATGGCTGTAAGATGTTAACACTGGTCCTGGTGTCGGTAGCGGTACAATGGCTGTGTAAGATGTTAACACTGGTCTCAGTGTCGGTAGCGGTACAATGGCTGTGTAAGATGTTAACACTGGTCTCAGTGTCGGTAGCTGTACAATGGCTGTGCAAGATGTCAACACAGGGAGAGGCTGAGTAGAGGGTAACTCTGCACTCTCCTCACCAGTTTTCTGTAAGTCTAAAAATTTCTTCAAAATAAAAAGTTTAAAAAGTTGTCAGAAGTGAACGTAGGGGAAGAGAAGAGTGTGCTAGATCATTGTTCTTTCTCACCTCTCCAACTGTCCTCCCCATACCTGACTTATCCTTATGACATCATGGCATTTCCCGGTCCCACAACTAGGCTTGACCAGCAAAATAACCTGGAGGCGGCGTGCTCTGCCCCCAGGTGAAAGAATAAGGAAGCGAGGCCAGGGTGAGAGGAGGCAAGGCAGCACCTGGAGTCCCCACATACAAAAATGGGTTTCAGCCGGGCACAGTGGCTCATGCTTGTGATCCCAGCACTATGGGAGGCCAAAGTGAGTGGATCACTTGAGGTTGAGACCAACCTGGGCAACATGGTGAAACCCTGTCTCTACTAAAAATACAAAAATTAGCCAGCTGTGGTGGTGTGTGCCTGTGGTCCCAGGTACTCAAGAGGCTGTGGCAGGAGAATCGCTTGAACCCAGGAGGTGGAGGCTACAGTGAGCTGTGATCGCACCACTGCACTCCAGCCTGGGCAACACAGCGAGATCCCATCTCAAACAAACAAACAAAAAAACAAACAAATGTGTTTGCTCTGGGCTGGTTCAAGAGCTTCCCTTCTGGCATCTCAGGGGAGGTCTCACCTTACATAGGATGAGGTGGCAGGAGGATGGACATGTGAAAAGGACTGTATGACACCATAAAAGGAAAAGCAAACCCATTAAAATAGGCCGGCTTCCAGAAGAAAGGAATTTATCTCCAGGGCCTCCTACCACCCGCCCACAGCAGAGAAAATGAGTAGAGGATCTGCCAAGGCTTGGCCCTAGTGGCTACCAGGGGGTGGTAAGGCCCAGTTACAAGCGTGGCCCAGACACTGAGGCTGGCTCCATTCCCGACGTTGTTAAAATCACAACTATGAAGATGTAACTATCCACCTCTCTGGCTTGGAAAGCACTGGTTTTAGGATACAATGCCAGTTCTGAGCAGATGAAACTGGTTACTTATTCCAAGCACTTCTATATATCATACAGTACACTAGCTTGATCATTCTTGTTTCCAATAATACAACAGCTATGGCACAGATTGTAGCATCTGGATGAATAGCCTAGAGTAATATGATGAACTAAGGAGCAGCCAGACCCCAACTTGATCCTCTATATTCACTTGCAAAAATGTGGTCCTGAGTCTTAGCAAACTACAATGGCTGCCTGGAATTCAAACAGCCCCTAACAAGTCCATCCAAAAGCATGGGACTGAGAGCGCTTTGTCTGAAATGGAGACCCTCCCACTCAACACACAGAAACATCAAGCTGAGCTCTGCCGACAGGGCAGGCAAAAGCAGCCTTCTCTTAACTGTCCCACTTATTAGAAACTCTTATATATGAATTATCTTCAAGCTATCATTTTAAAGAAAAGAGAAGCCAGGTGTGGTGGGGCTCACACCTGTAATCCCTGCACTTTGGGAGGTGTGGGTGGGTGGATCACCTAAGGTCAGGAGTTCGAGACCAGCCTGGCCAACATGGTGAAACCCAGTCTTTACTAAAAATATAAAAAATTAGACAGGCATGGTTGTGAGTGCCTGTAATCCCAGCTACTTGGGAGGCTGAGGCAAGATAATTGCTTGAGCCCAGGAGGCGGAGGTTGCAGTGAGCCGAGATTGCGCCACTGCACTCCAGCCTGGGCAACACAGCAAGACTCTGTTTCAAAAAATAAAAGAAAAGAGGAAAAGATCTACTTACATTATTATAATTTGGATTCATTGTTATGAGGTTTTAAGAAGTGAGGCTAGTTAAGTTAGCACCAAGTCTGAGATTTGAGAATTCATTCTTGCACTGGGCTTAGGACATAATGGAAGCTGGACCCATTTCACACATTTAGCAAATGAAATCACCCAATCCTCTATCACTAGGTCATCCAAGAAAATGTTCGTACTTACAGACATCGGCAGTGAGTGAGCAGAAAACAGAATGACCACCTCGCTTCTCTTCTCAAGTGGAAAATGGTCCAGTTCCTTTAGAATATGATCTGCAAAGCACTGAGGGAGTAATAAGAAAGGAGGATAAAGAGGAAGGGAAGAAAGAAACGGAAAGAAAAAGAAAATATTTTTAAAATGAAGCCTACACCAAAAATCTCAGAGCAACCCTCAAAAAATCAGAACTCTCTTTTTTTAAAAATTGCAAACAGTCTAGCCTCTCAGCATTGGTTTATCATCAAAATGGATCATAACGGTTTCAGGGGCCTAGGGAATTTGCTGGGAAACTTCTAAAGCTCGCTAATGGCTCACTGCAAATGCGGGCTGTGGATCTGCTTCCCCTCGGGAAGGACAGGGCACGCTTCCAGATGGAAAGGAAACACAGATGGGAAGGAGAAGTTGTTTTAAGACCTCTCATTTGCTCTGTTAGCAGGAAAACAGCTTACAGGGTCTTTCTAAAGCCTCCTTAGTTTGGCTTTCAGGCATACCACATTAAATACATTAGTCAGGAATAGTAGGGAAATAAGAAAATACTGTTCTATTTTTATAACATTTTCTTCTGAGCCTCGTATCCCCATCAAGTTAAGTTTTATAAAAACCTTCCCAACAACAGATGATAGGTGATACACACCCATTAAATTCACAGAGCAAGGAAAGATGTGGTAAACTTAGGGGCTCATTCAGTCACATCTGTGGAACTTGGGAAAGAACAGGGTTCCTGCCTCTCCCTCCAAACCTCTGTCTACCAGACCAGGGAGCTCCCTTCGTCTAGCCGGCACTTTGATTCACGTCGATAGGTGCTGAAATACCAGAACTGAAGGAGCTTTCTTTCATCTTATACTTTAATCATTCTCTGTCATTTAGCTTATAAAAAATGCTACAACAGACACAAATGGGTCAACTGACAAAATCAGAATATGAATGTAGATTAAGTAAAAGTTTAAATATTGATGTTAAATTTACTGAAGTTGAATGTTGTACTGTGGTTATGTAAGAGAAAATTCCTGATTTTAGAAAACACACACTTAAGTGTTTAGGTGTAGAGGATGATGATATATGCATAACTTATTCTCACATGGGTCAGAAAAAAATCATGTGTATACAAACACAGAGACACACACATACATATACACACAGGGCATGTGAATGACAAAGCAAGTAGGAGATACATGTTAATAACACATCAATAGGCCAGACGCAGTGGCTCACGCCAGTAATCCTGGCACTTTAGGAAGCCAAGGTGGGAGGATTGCTGGAGCCCAGAAGTTCAAGACCAGCCTGGGCAACATGGAAAGACCTAATCTCCACAACATTTTTAAAAATTAGCAGGGCATAATGGCACATGCCTGTGGTCAGCTACTCAGGAGGCTGAGGCAGGAGGATCACTTGAGCCCCGGAGGTTAAGGCTGCAGTGAGCTATGATCCTTCCACTCAACTCCAGCCTGGGCAACAGAGTGAAACCCTGTCTCGAAATACTAATAACACAGTAACATAGGTAAAAGAGTAGATGAGAGTTCCTTATACTGTTCTTAATCTTGTAACTTTTCTGCATATCTCAAATTATTTCCAAATTGTCCTTTGTAACTTTTTAAAAACTATAAAGGACAATTGATCAGAAACATGTAAATCTGCACTTGTTGGTATTTTGATACATCAGTGGTCAGTGAAAACTATGGGATAAGCAAACTATTCCCTAATACATATTGAGATATTATTAATCTTTCCAGAACTCTTGAAATTTGGCAAATAAATATCCTAAGGCGTAAAATGGTACCTAAAGTTCAGTTCCCTTTTCAGAATTTATAATGCAAATTCTCAGTAAATGTGATAGGATTAGATACAAACAAAACCAATATTTTCTGGTCTTTGCAGTGTTTGGAAACTAAGGATGCTCAGAAAGGATTATTTTTGGGCCTCAGCCTAGATAAGGAGGCCCACTGCAAGGTTTATACAGGAATCTAGAACATATATTTGCCCCAATTAATCCAACAGCTAGATAAATACCAATATTAGAGAAAACAGTAATAAAATGGCTATTTGGAGCAATCACTACCTATGCCAAGTAGAAATGTGGATTCGAAACAGAATTTGTAGTTTTAAACTATATTTTTTGTTTTAGTTTAGGGTTTTGTTTTCTGGTTTCCAAAAATGTCATATCATATCCAAAGCTTAGTGCTTTTCTTTTCTTGGCTTGCAAAGCTGCAAGTAAAAACACAAATCATACGGCCTGCAACAGCCTCTAAGCCGTCTTCAAAACTGAGGCGCCATGGGCAAGGAGAAGTGCTATTTAAATCACCTAAAACCCATCTGCGGTATTTTCCAGGCGCAACCTCTCTGCAGAATGAAAGAGGCACCGAGCCTCTCAGAGCCTTCAATCACACCATCTAGGAGGGCGGATAAATGCCTCTAAAATTCCCTTTCATTTTATGAACAGAGACTTCCTCAGTTAAGAGACCTTTCCATCGTTCTGCTTCCCCCCTTTTCAAAGGGCTGAATTTTAATGCAAATCTAATTACTCACTTGATCAGGGCAGGCAGATGCTGTGCAGATCCTTCCATTCCCTGCTACCACATGTCAATGCTGACCTGAAACCCCCCTCCTTTCCAATCGCAGGCCTCCCAGAGCAAAACCCAGGCCGCTGGTGCTTCAGGCAGTACTGGCTGGACCCAGCAACACAGCCGTCAATAGTGCACACAGAGACCACAACTACACCCACCCCTAAGGGTAAGCTCCTTCACTTTTTACTTAAAATTGGATTTCAACCCAAGTGTTAACTCTTTATATGCCTAAGGAACACTGCTCTGGGGAGAGCTGGCCTGATTTCAATGATGTCTAGCACCATCTAGTGGTCACAGATTTAAGTGATACCAGGCTTCTAAAGCTGTTAGGGTTTTTTGCCAAGAGTCAGAAAAGGTTCAGGGAGTGAAAAATAAAATTGATAAAATCTAAATGACTTAATATTTCCGCTACCTAAAATAACTCAAAAGCAGAAACTTCTACTAGCAGAACAAAATTATATTTGCCTAATTTAGGGCAATATTTTACCAATTGCCCTCTCATTTTTGACAGGCAGAAAAGAATATAGTAACATCAGTTCAAAGCTATTAACTTTAGAACTGTAATTTTAATTTATTCTCCTAAAATCAAGCATCTTTTAATAAAAATATTATATATAAATTGTACAGAAGAAATATGAAATTTAATATGTAAAACTTTCTCTATTGAAACGTTAATTTATTTTCATGTCTCAGAAAATGTAGATATATTACTTTTACATTTTAAAAATCTTTTGACATTTTAAAGGATTTAGAAAATAGAAAATTTAATTCGTTGGTCAGTCATCCAGCCTACAAATGCAAGTTAACTGAAACACCATGAACAATCTTTAATGCTCTTTGAGTCACAGGAAACACAAAACTCAAAATATTGTTCTGTTATGGTTTGGGACTAATAGCATTAATCTGAAGAAAGAAGACTCTAATCATTTTAATCTTTAAATATATTTTCTCTTTTCATAATAAATCAAGAATATAATACTTTTATTTAATCCCTAACACACAATTTAAGCAAAGGAACAGTAAGGCCCAGAAGGACATCCACAAACCCAGAAGGGACAAGAAGCTGATACACACTAGATGCTGGGGTGACAGGCAGCTGGCAATCACTGGCTTACCTGGATGAGGAGGTGATGTGTGGGCCACCTGTCAATAGTGCTCCACTTCATCGTGGGCTTCCGTCCCACTTGATTATAGTACCTGTAAATGGCATTTAAGCTGCTGCCTGAAATATACAGAGGCCACTTAGTAGATGCATTTTGATTATGGTGAAAATAAAAAACAGACTCGTAAAGGTAGTATATATAAGTTCAAAGCAGGTAACTGCTTCTATACTGAATCAGTCTAATTACAATCATTTCAATACTCTAAAATGCATATAGATTTAACTACCCTGCAAATGAAGATCACTAAAAAGCAATCAATTTCAATGGACTTTCAAAGATTATTGATGTTAGTTCTAGTGAAAAACAAGATGACTGCAGAGTTATGAAATATAAGCAGTCATATTTGCAGGGACCAAGTCTTACAATTGAAAGTAGGTTGGCCAGGCGCAGTGGCTCACGCCTGTAATCCCAGTACTTTGGGAGGCCGAGGCTGGTGGATCACCTGAGGTCGGGAGTTTGACACCAGCCTGACTAACATGCAAAAAGCCTGTCTCTACTAAAAAATACAAAATTAGCCAAGTCTGATAGTACACCTGTAATCCCAGCTACTCGGGAGGCTGAGGTAGGAGAATCGCTTGAACCCAGGAGGCGGAGGTTGCGGTGAGCCGAGATCACGCCATTGCACTCCAGCCTGGGCAACAAGAGCGAAACTCCGTCACAAAAAAAAAAAAAAAAAAAAAAAAAAAAAATGTTATTTTTTTTTTTCAGTTACAAAGGTTATCAATCCCATTATAGGAAACGTATGGGATGGGGAAGAAAGGAAAAAAGAAACTGACCATTATCCCAGCATGCTAATTACAGTCATTGTTTTACTCTAATATGGTTCTTTTTCTTTATAGATGTTTTGTTTTACAAAGTTGTAATTTTTAATACATATGCAATTCTGCATGCTGAGTATTTTGAGCATCTTTACTTAATATTAAGAGATAAATATTTTCCATGTTACGATAAAAGCTTTGTAACTATTGTTTGTTTGTTTGTGAGGCGGAGTTTTGCTCTTGCTGCCCAGGCTGGAGTGCAATGGAGCAATCCCGGCTCACTGCAACCTCTACCTCTCGGATTCAAGTGATTCTCCTGCCTCAGCCTCCTGAGTAGCTGGGATTACAGGTATGTTCCGCCATGCCCGGCTAATTTTGTATTTTTAGTAGAGACAGAGTTTCTCCATGTTGGTCAGGCTGGTCTCGAACTCCCAACCTCAGGTAATTGGCCCGCCTGGGTCTCCCAAAGTGCTGGGATTACAGGGGTTAGCCACCGCACCCAGCATAACTATTGTTATTAATGGACTCATGATAAGGAGAGAACATTATTGAGGTTCCTGTGAGCTCTCATTCTCTAGAATAAGGTAAATGGACACCAAATCATTACAAGTAATCTAATAAACTTATATTTTTCTAAGAGAGAGATGGAAATCATGAAAATTCAAAGCCAAAACAAAGGCAGATGGTGTCAACCCAATGCAACCTTTTCCTGTCTAGGGGAGTTAGCATTGGCGTCACACCCGAATCCTATGAAACCAAGTCTAACACACAGCCTCTTCCTCAATGTTAACAAAGCGCAAGTCCCAAAACATTTCTATGGTTTCCATCACCAACCCACTGGGCTCTCTAACTATAAGAACTATTAGTGGCTGGGCGCGGTGGCTCAAGCCTGTAATCCCAGCACTTTGGGAGGCCGAGACGGGTGAATCACGAGGTCAGCAGATCAAGACCATCCTGGCTAACACGGTGAAACCCCGTCTCTACTAAAAAATACAAAAAACTAGCCGGGCGAGGTGGCGGGCGCCTGTAGTCCCAGCTACTCGGGAGGCTGAGGCAGGAGAATGGCGTACACCTGGGAGGCGGAGCTTGCAGTGAGCTGAGATCCGGACACTGCAGTCCAGCCTGGGCGACAGAGCGAGACTCCGTCTCAAAAAAAAAAAAAAAAAAAAGAACTATTAGTTAGGTTTCCAATTTAAAATGTTAGGAGAGAGCATATTTTAAATCAAATATACTCTCAGACTAAGACTCAACTTCCAAAACGATAAACAGGTTCAATTTTGGTGAGTAGAATACAGAAGAATTCAAATGGACTCCATTCAAGGTTCAAAAACAATCTCTCCAGAAATCAAAAAGTTGTCACCACCATATTCACATTACAGACCACACTTCACAGGTGGATATCATTTTCATATGTGCAAGAGGGCATCTGGACATATGTGTAAGGGAGCATCTGGCATTAGCTCTTTCAGGTTGTGTGGAAACTTTCAACAAACAATCCAAAGAAGTCATTAAGAAGGAGAAAAATGTGACTGAGAAATTCGTTTGTGATGAAGACATACACTGGCTCTGCCACAATAGTGCATGTCTAAAAGATCCAACAGATAAACAGCACCTGAGTGGCCTCGAAGAATTCATGTACTTCCCAAAGCCTTCCACAACTTGGATAGATGGATGTACCTGTCCTTATATGAGATACACTCAAGGAAAACTAAGCATATGCTGAAGGTTTGCATACACTGTCACTTGTTAGAGCCAGCCCTGAAATAAAAATCATAGTCAATCTCCTGTCATGTAAATAACAAACTTCTTAATTTATCTAATTGTGAGAGCAGCCATTTACATATTGAGGTATATTTCTTAAAACAAGGCAAAAGTAGAGCTTAAAAATTCATAAAATCTGACTCCTTCTCCAGTAACATATGACCAGACATTTTGAAGTTGTAGTGGTGCATTTCAAAAAGAAAAATAATAATTCAGGCCGAGTGCGGTGGCTCACGCCTGTAATCCCAGCGCTTTAGAGGCTGAGGCGGGTGGATCACTTGCGGCCAGGAGTTTGAGAACAGCCTGGCCAACATGGTGAAACCCATCTCTACCAAAAATACACAAATCAGCTGAGTGTGATGGTGCGTGCCTGTAATCCCAGCTACTCGGGAGACTGAGGCAGGAGAATCGCTTGAACCCTGGAGATGGAGGTTGCAATGACAGAGCGAGACTCTGTCTCAGAAAAAAAAGAAAGAAAAGAAATGATAATTTAAACTCTTGAGGGTATCTGAGAACTCAGGCATTTTAATGGGTTCTCTGAACAAATATTTAAGGCACATAACAAGCTTTGACTTTTTTCAATAGCCTTTTGATTCTCCTTATGGTTATAGAAATGATAAACATTAATATCCGAAAGCTATTTGGGACTAAGAATGTGCTGACCTCAGTCCTTGCAAGGGAATGCAAACAAATGTATCTGTGGGTGACAGCAGCAGCTTTGCCTACAATGAATGATACAGAGATTGCCAAACACCGATTATTCCCCAGCTCCAGTTAAATATACAGAAAACAACAAGTAGTAACATTTTCCAAAATCAAGAACACAGAAAATTTTGCAAAGGGAACCCCAAACTGGGCTTTAGTTTTACCAGCAACCAACTCATATCTGAAGCACAACAACAGCAATAAAATACCAGTATTTCCCATGTTGTATGGGCATCTTTGCTTTCAAAATGCAGTTACAATCTTTGCTACATCAGTAAGAAAATCTGGGTAGCCATGAAAAGGTTTATCACACAAACCTAAAAAGAGCCTTAAGGTTCATTACGGATCCATTACACAATGGCATTAAAGCACTGAACACTTACAGCCACTGCCTACCACCCACCATTTGTAATTCCCAGCCAAGTGGCCAATAATTCAAGGGACAGATGGACCATGAGATTTCAAATGGACTGACCTGAACTCTCGTGTTTAAAGAAGACAGGTTGAATTTGCCATTCAAATTGCAAATGATTCATCCTTCCCTCCAGTAGTACTGACACTCCTTGGTTATTTTTGCCAGCACCATATCTACCTTTCTACTGGCAGAGAGATGCCCTTACCTGTGGTGGAGCAGCTGTACTGTGGATACTGTGTGAAGGCAATAGCCCTTTCTAGGCCATCTCTCTCCATCTCCTCAATTGCTTCTTCTGTTAAAGGATGGACGTACCGAAATCCAATATAGTATTTGTGAGGGGCTATTAGGAAGCACACGTGGAAAGGAGAAAGTGTTAATCTTTACATAGATTCCTCAGAGTCACCGAACATAATGCAATGCCCAGAACAAAGAACAGTTCGTGTAATTTCCTATGGCACTAATGGTGGAGGCAAGTTTAGCATATTCCTTGGATCGTATCCACTCTTCAGCTGGTATGTGGAATTTTAATCACGATTTTCTGGGATCAGCACCCCACCCACACATCTTTACTGCACAGTGGTTTTTAAAACTCAAACTTCTCTTCCTAATTCTCTGTTCTTGGCTCGCCTAAGAAAGCGTCAAGAGAAAGGAGGAAAAAACAACACTGATTCTAAAATATAACTTCCTCCTGCATACCAGATACTATAGTAGACACTGGGCATTATTTTTTTATTTTATTTTTTATTTTTGAGACAGAGTCTCCCTCTGTCGCCCAAGCTGGAATGCAGTGGCTCGATCCTGGCTCATTGCAAGCTGTGCCTCCTGGGTTCACGCCATTCTCCTGCCTCAGCCTCTTGAGTAGCTGGGACTACAGGCACCCACCACCATGCCTGGCTAATTTTTTGTATTTTTAGTAGAGACGAGGTTTCACCGTGTTAGGCAGGATGGTCTTGATCTCCTGACCTTCTGATCCGCCCGCCTTGGCCTCCCAAAGTGTTGAGATTACAGGCGTGAGCCACCGCGCCCGCCCATATTTTTTTAATCATTTAAACCTGATTTTTCAGATAAGGAAACAGAGACTCTGAAGGTTAACTGAACTATCCAAAGTCATACCTTGCAGGTGGTCGAGCTGGAATTAGAGCCTGGGTCGCCCGACCCATGCTTCTCACTCCTCCCAGAACCCCCCTCACCCGGCTCCTATTACCCAGTTCCCTGAAACCCCAGGCCAACTCGTTTATACATAAAAAAAGAAAGAGTTCTTGGATATGTAAAAAAATTCATTGATAACAAATGATTAAAATGATTCTCCTCATTACACACATAAAACAGTGCTTAATTTGGAGGTGCCACGTGGGATTGAAAGCCATCGTTCTTGGTATCTAAATGGCCCACGCCTGATGCATATCCTCGTGTTCTTTCCCTGTCCTTTCACTAATACCCTCTTCTATCTTCTTTATCCTCCCGCATCTTCCTTTCCTATGGTTCAAAAACATCCACACCACATAATTGCTTAAGCATGTATACAGTCATAAAACTACAAGTTTCCTAAACTTACTTAGTCTTGTTTCCTTGTCTTTTCATAGGATTACATATAACTTACACTCAGGGATGACAGTGAGAATCACTACATGAATGTCAGGTAATAATAAGACCATGATAATGTTACTGTCCAAAGCATTAGCAGGGGCTGCAACTATGAATGTGACATAAATTGCCACAAGAAACATTTAGGTTACAGTGAAGGAGAAGACGGGAGTTTATCTCATTTAAACATAGATATATACAAGGATGACATTCCTCCTAACTTGACCCAGAGAACTATGAGCCAATGGAACACATTCCCAAGGGAGAAGCAGAATGCCGTTAGGCGAGAGAAGCACATGTGCGCACAGAAAGGCTAGTTGGACTCAGTAGTCTCTGGTTGGGGACTGCAAGGGAGAGGAAGGAAGTAAAACTGAATCATTTTTAGTGCTCTGTCCATTTTCAGGCCACGAATTTCATGCTGCCTTGCATAAAATGATCCCTAGCAGTTAAAATATATCAGAGGACATGATCCCATAAGCAAACTCCAAATGACTTAATTGTTCAAAGACTATGTGCTTTGTGCTAAAAACTGCCAACTATTACAATACCATCAAAACCCTTGAGGCAACTCTTGGTGATCCGAGCTGAGGTTTAGCAAGCAAGTGGAAACTGTTTTCGAATCTACTTTGAAACAATACAATGATCAGAATGACATCCCCAGTGCTGCAGGTCAACTGGCTTCTCACATTTTCTTTTCACCTGTCCAGTAGCTGAAGATTACAGTCTAAATGCCTGGAGTCTGGGAGTGCCTCAAATTGTGCACACTAAGAGGTAGAGGGGCTGCCCTTGCAGATAAAGACACAGCAGGTGGCCACATTTTAAAGTGAGACAGAGAAAAATACCCTAGAAAGAACTGATAATGTTTTCTAAATGCTTTCTAAAGACAACCTGTAAACACATATTGTAGAAAAAGCGGCAATGTACTCTCCAACTGGGCATATCCTGAAGAACCAACAGTGTTCATGGAGGCCCCTTGTCCACCAGGGTGGGTTTCACACAGAGGCTGGCTGTCCCTGGAAGGACGCAGGGACGGGAAGGAGCATCTCTGATGTTAACCAGCGCCACATCTCATGGGCACATCTGGCCAGAGTGAGCCCAAAACACATCACTCACTGGCCTAGCCTAGGTACCCTCAGAGCAGCCGTCTAATGTAAACAGTCTTCAGCCAGAACTACTAAAAGATAGAGAAACTAGATTTTTAAACAGCAAAACTTCATTAATTTAGCATATACAATAGTTCAAATGTCCGATTTGTACATGATTTTTTGAAAGAAAAGTTTGAAATATCTAGCAAATGCTTCTTAATTTGTATCAGATCATGAACCCTGTGCTAATCATGAATTAAAAAGCTCACGTATATTGAATTTTTGTCATGTTAATGCCTTTCAGGATTATCTCATTTAATTTTCACAAGGATCTAGGAGTTGGGTTCTATTACCATCCCCATTTTCTAGCTGAGGCTTAGTGAAGTAAGTAAACTGCCTGAACCAGAACAGGGAAGCCAGCACCATCAGAGAAAAGAACCTATACTCCTAACCACACTGCATCCGGTAAAGAACAGAATTATTTCATGAGTCACTAAAAGCAGTTACAAGCCAAACAGTTAAACTACAATTTGTATAGCATATTTGAGATTTAAACTTTCCATCACATGATTACACTTCTCATCTATTTCCGTATCTATTCTCTACATTTCTGCAATGCAACTACATGAAACCACTTCCTGATATAACTCACTGTCTTAGTTAACTGGTCAATTCTATGAAACCAGTGCAAGTCTCAAAATGTCCACACTGGCTACCAAGCAACAACCACTTCCCTAAAAAATGACAGCATGAAACGTGTTTATCTGTTTGCAATTATCACATTTTCTGGCCTAAAGAGAATTTTTCTTAATAGAAATAAATGAATAGACATAGTTCAAAAGTAAACTTTACAATTGTATAGGAAAGAAAGGATCAGAAGGGAGGAGAAATGAGAAGGAGATGGAGAGGTACCCCCAGCAGCCTCATCAGAGACAGGAGGTGGCGGGAAGGATGCCCTTCTGTCTATTCCTTTTTCAAGTCTGACAACTCTAGCAGGGCTTCAACTCCTGGGCTCACGCAATCCTTCTGCCTCAGCCTCCCAAACAGCTGGGGTGTGCCCCACCCCCATGCTTACTAGGGCTCTTTATAATGATGGGTACTACAGTAACATAAAAACAGGAAAAATGGGAACCTTTCTGCCTCCTCTTCCCACTGAAGACACCATAGCAATTGCAAATCTGGTTCATAATAGACGTTTGTTTTTTTTTTGAGACAGGGTCTCACTCTGTCGCCCAGGCTGGAGTGCAATGGCGTGATCGTGGCTCACTGTAGCTTCAACCTCCCTGGCTCAAGCGATCCTTCCACCTTAGCCTCACAAATAGCTGGGCCTCCAGGTGTGTGCCACCATGCCTGACTAATTTGTTATTGTTGTTATTCTTGTTGTTGTGTGTGTGTGTGTGTGTGTGTGTGTGTAGACAGAGTTTCACCATGTTGCTCAGGCTGGTCTTGAACTCCTGGGCTCAAGCGATCCAGCCGCCTTGGTCTCCCAAAGTGCTGGGATTACAGACATGAGCCACCACGCCAGGCCCACAAGAAATCTTTGATTGGGATAAACTGTTAATGACTGGAGTTTGTTCTCTATCAAGTAGGTGTGAATGGAGGGCTGACATTTTAAAGGTGCACTGCGGCATGCACGGAGGAACTGCATAAGAAATGCCCTTGAGCCACAGCTGAAAGCAGGAAGCAAGCCAAATATGCAGAAGCACAGTTGAACGATTTTCCATGTGAGGTGATCTGAGAAGGCGCCAAGACCCTTTGTTACTTTGTGCCATGGGAGCCAGTGGATTCTGAGAGCAGCTGGAGTGGACGCTTGCTCAGTGATGTCGGGAAAGAGTGAAATGCTCCTTTTGGTCCTGCCTAGTGGAGCTGTTCTCCTTGAGGGTTCCCAATGTCACACACCTATCCTGATCCCAAAGCTCTAAGATATATTTGCGATGAATGTAAATATTCATGTGTCCTAAGATGTACCTGTTTTTGGTTTTAACATTTCACATATCAGTCCAGTCTACAATAGATGGTGTCTTAAAATTAACTGGTAGTGCTTTTGTGTCTTAGTATTATACAAAAACAGCTGTCCTGCAATCAATTGTGTCTTCAATGTGTTTAATATGGCATTTTTACTTCATCCATGCATTTAGTGGTTCATTCTGCACACTATTATTCTGGATAGAGGTTCTCAGATGTGCACAATCCTCTTTTTGGTGCCATATCCAATGAGGACCTTCAATACCTTATGATGATGATATCCTGAGAGCTGACAGCATCACTGCAAGTTGCTTAGTGTCTTGTGGCTTCCATGATAGCTAGCTAATACTGCTCTAAATATTCTAATTAGCTATCCAACCAGAAAGAAAAGGCAATAGCAACAGACTCAATTTATTTCCCAAAGATTTCTTTCCAGCATAATGATGTATGCATCTTTTATTTATGGTATGTTGCTTATGCCTTATACTCTACCTCAACTTAACAAACATCTCGAACTTCCTTTTGAAACTCATGTCCCAAATCCTCAGCTTTTTTTCACTTGTAATGTAAGAAGTCATAACAAAGGCTAAAGGTCAAGGGATAATGCCTGGAGACCTAAATTAAATGACCATGTATTATGTAGAAACACCACAAATCGAGTTGCCAGTACATATGAAGCATTTAGCTTCTACTACTGTTTTGAATTTCATAACTACTTTGAAAGAACTAATCTAGTTACATGTTAATGAAGAAACACCATACCTGTGTTGGGGGACAATTCATCCAGCAGCTTCACCATGCCCTCTCCCTGCTTGGAAGTCCATATCTTGATGGGGGACCCGCCTCCAATCCTGCGGTACTGCTCTTGAATCTTGGGGGTTCGACGTTTGGCGATGAATGGTGCCAGCTTACTAAATCATTTAACACACAGGTAAGTGGATTTTATTCCACCTTAGCAACCTGAGAAATGTTTCCTACTCAATAAAAAAAAAAAAAAATAAGCAAAATTTTAGAGAGCCTAACAAGATTAAGCCTTTAAAATAGAAGCTTGAGGTCACTGACAATAGCCAGCTGTCTTGTTGTAGATTACGGAGCCAAAGCTAGACCCTCTCTGAGGAATACCCAGCTGTGCTCCACAAGTTGTTCCAGTAGCACACCCTGAAGATTCAGGACACACAGCACCCATGCGGAGAACCCTGGATGTGTGCTAGCTACGAGAGTAACACATTTTGATCCCACACCTAACGAGAACTAGGATATAAGACAAAGGCAGTATACATTTCTCTTAATTTAAAAAATAAAGTCTATTAATCTTATAGATACACTTGCATATAGGAGCAAAGATGTATGCATAAGAATATTCACTATATTCACTGCAATACTGTAAACAACCTAATTGTCCAACATGAAGCACGGATTAAACAAATGAAGTTACAGCCATATCATGCAATTCTAAATAGTAATCAAAAAATGAGCCAGACCTATATATCGATATAATGTTATGAAACAAGATACAGTGTTAAGTTTAAAAAAAAAAAAAAGGAAAGTTTCAAATATAGTACATAAGTACCTTCACATTTGTGTAACAAAGTGGGGGAGGTGTGTGTGTGTGTGCGTATGTATGTCTATACTTGGATATGCACAGACTATTTCTGGATGTAACAGAGTTGACCTCCAGGTGGGTAACTGGGGGTGCAAGGGGAAAGGGACATTTGCCCTTTACTGTAATTACTTTTATACTATGTGTAGTTCTTATCGCATGCATGTATTAATTTTTCATTACAAAAATCTATTTTGAAAGAAAAAGGAGAGAAGGAAGAAGGGAAAGAAGGATGAAAGGAAAAGAAGGGCAGCAACAATCCATATTTATAGTACAAATGAATAATAATCATTGCTTCCCTGACTGTTAATCAGCCGTTAAGTGCCAAGGACAAATACATCTTTAAAAATCTTTAAAGGTGCTTAGGCTATGTCAAGACAACTGCAATTTCCAGGGCTCTGGGGAGCAAAGGGCTCAAGGAGAATCCTCACTAACTTATTTGCTCTCTCCCCCTGAAATTTTCTGATACCATATCCTTCTGATATCCAATAGAAAACAATGCTGCTGCTTTAACCATTACCAGATACGCATTAAAACAATTTACTGGTTTGAAACTACAGAATTGAGAGACGCATGTCAATGCAGTGCCAAGGTTATAATCAAGTCGTGGTGTTTATATGGATCTCACTTCTGAATAGGAAGCGTCATGAGGTCTCGGTCCAAGAAGAGTCTCAGAAGGAAGTCGTGAACATCTCCGAGGGTTTCGGGGCCTCCCATGTTTAGCATTAATATTCCAGTTTTGGGTTTCCTACATAAAATAAAATACAATGGTTGATTTGTCACACTTCTTATTTTCTTCCAGGGTGGAATCTTGGTTCAGCCAGCAACTCTTATCTAACCTGTTCCGTACAAAGGTAAATACTACAGCTCTTTTCACTGCCATCACACGGATACCTATTCAGGGACATCTGTGGACTCCAGTTCCTCATGGTCCCAGCTCAGACGCGGACCTTTGTCTTTTGGCTTAATCCATGATATCAGTCTTCACTCAGCTGGAAATGTTTCCCTTTTAAAGTCTCAGCCTGAACAGAGATCGAATCTTTAGGGACTGGGAGTCAAAGTAGAAGTCTAAAATTGTCCTGAGGCTAAAGCATTTGTACATGTGAATGCCATGCGAATACAGAGGTTACCCGACCTCTCCCAACTTCAGGTTTCCTCATCTGGAAAACACAGCACCCACCACCTACTCAAAATGCTGTTTTGAGAATTCAGTGGTAACAGTTTCAGTCACTTAGCACGTGCAGGCACATGGTAAGTTCTACTCTACACAGAGCAGGGTTACCCCCTAATTTTAAACCTCCACAGTCTAATACCAGCCCATCCCCACTCTTGTATCTACTCTTGTCTCTTTAGTCAATGATTAAATTAAATGAGTACTGACTGAAATTATTTTTTACATTTTATTGTATTTTTGAAATGGAGTCTCACTCTGTCACCCAGGCTGGAGTGCAGTGGTACGATCTCAGCTCACTACAACCTCCGCCTCCCAGATTTAAACAATTCTCCTGCCTCAGCCTCCTAAGTAGCTGGGATTACAGGCACCCAGGCTAATTTTTGTATTTTTACTAGAGATGGCGTTTTGCCATATTGGCCAGGCTGGTCTCAAAATCCTGACCTCAGGAACCAGCCTCAGCCTCCCAAAGTGCTGGGATTACAGGCGTGGGCCACCGTACCAGGACTGACTGAAGTTATTGCTTGCTCCTCTGCTTCCTTCTCTAGGACCTCCCTCTATTCCTTCACCCATGGCTCCTGTTATGATAAACTTCTCCTCTCCATCCTGCATGTAAATTCACTGCTAGATAATTCCTCCAAGAACCGGTGCTAACATTCAAATTAGTCCCAGGCTAGAGAATCAACCACTGAATGAGCAGGAAGAAGCAAAAAGAAAGCAGAGCTCTATAACAAGTTTTAGGTCAAGCAGTTTCTGGAAACTTAAAAAAACAAAGTACTAGGCAAAAATGTAAACCTAAAATCCAGATCAAGCTCCAGAGTCAACACAGCCCAAAGTGAGCCAGGCCAGGAGCTCTCCACTCCTAAGCCCCGCCAGAGAGCAAGGCGAAGCCGGAGCAGGACGAGGAGCCATCAGAAGACCTTGTGTGTCCCCATGAACAGGTAGCCATGGGATGGCAATAACTGGGGAACTAAAGAACAAGGAGCATTTCTTCCATTCATTCATCTTTTTTTCATTTTTAAAAATTGAGATATAACTCACATACCATAAAATTCACCATAATCTGAACAATTCAGAGGTTTCTAATACATAAGGAAGGGCAGGAAACCACCACAACTATATAACTCCAGGACATCTTTACCCCACAAAGAATCTTTGTATCCATTAAAGCCACTCCCCATTCCCTCCCTTCTCACCCCTGGCAACCACTAATCTACTTTCTGTGTCTATAGATTTGCCTATTCAGGACATTTCTGGGTCTATAGATTTGCCTATTCATGTCATAGCATGAATCAGTACACTTCACTCCTCTTTATTGCTAAATAATATTTCATTATATGTTTGTACCCTCTATTCACTTTCAATAAAGCAGCTGAAAAATAACCAGCCTGAAGTTTATCTAAATATTGTTATTACGAGTGCTATGGGGTCTACTTCCTGAATCTCCTATACCAGACCACGTCTGACTACAGCAGCGACTAAGCCAACGCTGCTGAGACAGAGCCTGTATAGAAAAACATTCTTTATGTGCTTGACAACTAACGATACTACGATGACATCTTTTTTCTTTTTTTCTTTTTTTTTCTTTTTTAAGACAGGGTCTCACTCGGTCACCAAGGCTGGGGTGCAGTTGCACAAACAAGGCCCACTGCATCCTCGACCTCCCGAGCTCAAGCGATCCTCCCGCTTCAGCCTCCTGAGGAGCTGGGACCACAGGCACCTGCCTCCATGCCTGATTACTTTTTAAATTTTTTTATAGAGACGGAGTCTTGCCATGTTGCCCAGACTGGTCTCAAACTCCTGGCTCAGGCTCCCAAAGTGCTGAGATTACAGGTGTGAGCCATCGTCCCGGGCTTATGATGACATCTTAATGGGTAATTTGTAAACAATTATTAACAACATTTGGCAATAATGTAAGGCAGCAGCGTATGTCAGATGTAAACAGGTGGAAACTTTTCCTGATCAAACCTATTGTAAGTGAATGAGGTAAAAATCTGATTTCTCAACCTAATTTTTCAGAATACGAATCAATTCCTGGGGAAGGAGAAATATGGCATTACAATGAGGTCAGGGATTTTCTCATTTAGACCCCATTATAAAGATTAACTAAGGTCCCTTTTCACATCATTGTCTTCGACCAGGGTTTCTCAACCTCAGCACTACTGACGTGTGGGGCTGGAGAGTCCTTTGTTGTAGAGGACTGTACTGTGCAATGCGGGAGGCTTAACAGCATACCTGGCCTCTACCTACAGATGACAACAGCACGCACCCCACCCCAGTGTGACAACCAAAAATGTCTCCAGACATTGCCAAATTTGTCCCAGGAGGCAAAAATGCCCCCTTCCCCCTACTGAGAATCACTGTCTTAGAGGAAGAGGGCTTCATCCCCTTTTTAAAAACCAAGCAACTGCAGTGAAGATGTGGTTGTTAGATAACTCTTCCATGCTCGAGTCCTACGACTGCATTAACAGGGGTGTGTTGAGTTTTCTTTCCTTGATATTTGAAAATTCCAGATGCATTATTTTGTGATATTTCTTTAATCTTTCTACTTAGAACACCAGTCTTCTCCTGGGATCCTGTCTTTCGCCCTCAAAATCTGTGACTCACAATAAATTAAGTGCATTTCCCATGGATTGCTGCCAGTTAACAGATTACTGGTTAAAAAACCTCAGGCTAAAAGATTTACCCAAGCCACAGACAGTATCAGTGTGCAAACGGGATTTAGAGCTGTTTTTCATCTATAACACCTGAGCTCAGAACAAGAGTGGCTTTAAAGGGGATGCTACTCTGCCCTGCTCACGGTTTTGCAAACCCATGTTGATCTTACACATTAAAGAGATGCACACGACTTGAAAATACCTAAATACACATGCACTTAATTCAAAACTGTGTTGTGCATGATGAATAGCGCATTAGTAAGTCCTAGTCTGACACCCCTCTATTCTAGAATGTGAAGTGAAAGCTTTAGTCAAGGGCCTCCATCTCCTCTCCTTCCAGACAGAACACACCTGAGACCAAGGTCTGAACGTTCATGTTCTGTTTGTTTTAACATAAAAGTGTATACAGCAAAATATATTTAAAATGTCTCACTTGGAAAGGTTTCAACATTTTGCCATTTTTATATCCCGGGACTCTCAAAATACAAGGTTTTTCCTTGAAATATTGAATGTACGTAACAGAAACTTAAGCTTGTCAATTCATAAACAATAATTCTATTCTACTCTATATGGTCAGCCTCAAGAAAAAGTAGTAAGATCCCAGCTCTTCATTGAACCTCTAAGACATGATTGGCCTGTGGGTCTACGATGCCTCTAGAACAGAATTTGGCGAACTACAGCCCAGGCACTAAATCTGTGTACACACATACACCCCTACTGCCTGCTTTTGTAAAGAAAGTTTTACTGGAACACAGCTCCCCTCATTGTTTATGTAATATCTGTGGCTGCTCTCACATTACAACAGCAGAGTTGAATAGCAGCAAAAGAGAGAGTTTGGCCTACAAAGCCTGAAAAATTTACTGCCTAACCCTTTACAGAACGAATCTGTCAACCCCAGCCTAGTGTAGTGTCTACCCTAGTACTGCAATCTAGTCCAGCCCAAGCATTAAGCAGCGCAATGCCTTCATAATGTCTGCCATCAGAATAATCCACAAAGACACTCATTGCTTCACCATTTCTAGTATTAAAAAACTAGAAATCACCTACACGTCCCATAATGTTGGACAGGGTAGTTTATGACTTAATAAAATACTCTTCAGTTACTAAAATAATATAGACAAATATTTATATGATGATAAATAAAAAGAGGGCATTATAAATACATGATGTATAGTACGGTCACATCTTGCTAAATACATACAGAGTGAATCTTAATAGTCATACAGACAAAATTGGCCTGGCTGGTCGTTCACACCTGTAATCTCAGCACTCTGGAAGGTTGAGGCAGGAGGCCTGCTTAACCCCAGCAGTTCAAGACAAGCCTGAGAAATACAGTAAGACCTTGTCTCTATTTTTTTTTTTAAGAAGAGAGAAACAAAATATCGGGTGGTAAGACCTTTCATAATGTTTAAAGTATTTTTTTTCCCTATCTGTATTCTCTAAAATGATCCCATGTATTTTATATAAAGATGATCTAAAGTTACTTCGTAGAATTTAAAGATTTTCATTTAATTTTAATAATATTAAGGCTACTTATATTAATGAGTTGCCACTAGAATAACACACAAATGAAATAATTTTTCTTCCAGGATTCCACATTGAATCAGTTCTTCAGTTTCTATCAAATCCCAACCGTCAGTACTTATGGCTTAAGTGGGGAGAGGGGCTGGGAAGGGCAAGGAGAAATGGAATGGGTCCTTCTTGGCAGGCTGCCAGATGAAGAAGATATCCAATGCCCATCCCCAAGTAACCTCAAGTTACACAGCACTAAATCATCATACTTATGATCATACAGCAGAAAATAATAAACACACAATAAGAAAATTTTGGTTTTGGCCAGGCACGGTGGCTCGTGGCTCATGCCTGTAATACCAGCACTTTGGGAGGCCACAGCAGGAGAACTGCTGGAAGCCAAGAGTTCAAAACCAACCTAGGCAGCAAAGTAAGATCCCATCTTTACAAGAAAAACAAATTTTTAATTAGCTGGGTGTGGTGGTGTGTACCTGTAGTCCTAGCCACTCAGGAGGCTGAGACAGGAGGATCGCTTAAGCCCAGGAGTTCAAGGATGCAGTGAGCCATGCACTGCACTACAGCCTGGGTGACAGTGCAACACTTCTCAAAATAAAAACGGTGGCTCATGCCTGTAATCCCAGCACTTTGGGAGGCCAAGGCAGGTGGATCACTTGAAGTTAGGAGTTCGAGAGCAGCATCGCCAACATGGTGAAACCCCATCTCTGCTAAAAATACAAAATTAACTGGGTATGGTGGCACACACCTGTAATCCCAGTTACTTGGGAGGCTGAGGCAGGAGAATCGCTTGAACCTGGGAGGTGTAGGTTGCAGTGAGAAAAGATCAAGACACTGCACTCCAGCCTGGGTGAAAGAGCAAGACTCCCTCTAAAAAAAAAAAAATCTCTCTCTCTCTCTCTATATAGATACATATATATATGACTGGGTGTGGTGGCTCATGCCTGTAATCCCAGCACTTTGGAAGGCCGAGGCAGGCGGATCACTTGAAGTCAGAAGTTCGAGACCAGCCTGGCCAACATAGTGAATTCCCATCTCTACAAAAAATACAAAAATTAGCCAGGCATGGTGGTGTGTGCCTGTAATCCCAGCTACTTGGGAAGCTGAGACATGAGAATTGCTGGAACCCGGGAGGTGGAGGTTGCAGTAAGCCGAGATTGTGCCACCGCACTCCAGCCTAGGTGACAGAGTGAGACTCTCTCAAAAAAATAAAAAATTATACATATATATATTATACACACATACTCATACCTGTATAATTTTCATCAAACAATGTGTGATCTAGGAGAAAGGTCATGGAGTTAAATAGGTCCTAGCTACTTTATCTCGCTCTGCCTGATATTAAAGGGTGCTGTTTCTATGTACTCATCTCGATAACTTCCCTTTATAGAGTCTTCTGTTGCCTCTGTACAGAGGAAGACTTGGGAGCAGTTGTGACTTCCGTTACTAAAGAGGACCCTTGCAACAATGCCATGCCTGCTGCCAGCCACCAACAACAGAAGAGGTGAGGTATGAAACGTGTACTTCACTTCTTTAATAGATGATAAATCATATTACTTCCTTTATAATTATGTTCACTGTGTTAAGGGATGAAAAACAATCCTCTAGTTTCCTATAGAAATTCTTGGTAGATCAGTTATTCGTTATCCTGTACAGAACATACATTTCATAGGCATAATTATGTTAGGTTCATAAATACATTTCCAGCATATATAATTTGTGTTATATGACATATTCCAGAACCAAATTCTTAACACAATTTGCAGACTGTACTCAACTGTGTCTTTTAACAATAGCCCTGTTGCGAGGAAAGATCCAGTGGGGAAGGAGGGTGTAAAATCTATGGTTTAACAGCCGTTGAAAGGAAGCCAAGAAAATAGCACACCGCTCCTTCCACACTGGCTTTTCCCAGCACCTTTCCTCCTAGGCAGCTAGGTGTCTGCATCAATAAAGAGAAATCCTTGTTTGTACCTGATGTTAGCCTCATACCTCTTCTGCGGTTGAACTTGAGGTTTTGCATGCTGGGCATGCTGGGCTGTTTCTGTGGCGGCGGCTGCTGCAGCTGCACCGGACTTCCACCTCCATGGCTGACAGACCCTCCAGCTGCTGGATGCCACTGTGACAAAATTAAAGTGCTCGCATGAAATCCAGCAGGAAAGTAATTTCTTCTGAAGAAGTCCTCAGAGCAGAATTCCTGGATTTAAAATTTAAAGAGATGCGATGGCAGAAATGATTTTCCTAGCATTTCTCTGCAGGCAGGTAAAGGCACTTAAGGCCTGTCCAAGGGGATGGGGTGGAGGATCGCTCCCCTAGGATGGCTGATGAGAGCCTGCAGGGAAGCATTTTAGAAACTACACACACCTCCTCTCCCCACCTCGGCTGCAGATGTTGATACAATCCCTCACAAGAAGCCCTGCATGAGACCAACATGACTGACAGTAGCGTGCTGCTCCTGTGGAAGGAGAAGGGGCTGCAGAAAAGGTGAAAAGCCGCCAATTTCAGGAGTGGCAACTGGGCCAGTTTTCACATAGCTGCAGTTCTCCCTTCTGCCTCCAAGCCTTCTTCAGAAAGCACTGGTGCTGAGAACCCAGTACTGCCCTTGAACCCTGACAAGGGGCCTCTGCTTCCCAGGGCCTGTTCTAGCCCTCCTCCCACTGCACCCCACCCCGCGGGGTATGCAGTCTCTACCGCCAAGGAGACATGCCCCGCCAGGAGTCCACATCCCACATACCAGACCAGGCTCCCAGCGCCCCAGGATTCCCTGTCCCCCAGGCTCCACACCCACTCCCAGGCTGGGTGCAGGCATCTTTTCTGGATCCATCCTCCTGAGGGAGGTTGTGCCATCAGTGTAGCAAGTCTTGACCTGAATGGTGGCCAAGGGATGGCCGTTTGCAGGAGCAAGAGTGGAACTAGGCATGCAGACCAGAGAATCCATCCAGGCTGTGGGTGAGACTCCTCACAAGGCCAGAAAGAGCTGGCGGCAGGAAGAGAAGCAGGAAAGTGTACGAATCAGAGGCAACTCTCCAAAGGCCTCTACATTTCTGCAGGAGTTCAGAGAGTTCAAGAGCTCACCCTTCCAGGTCGTGATCAAGGTCTATTTGTCAACATAGGAGGACAGAACATATTTCCCAGTTTGGTAGCTTGCGACATCCCACATACCATATATGTGCCTTCAAGTATACCCTTGTCCTGGGCCCCACAGGAGGTGGCAGTGGGCCTGAAGAACCCACCTGAATTGAGGAGTCCGTGTGCCATACTCAGCTGTCATATGAAGAGTACTAGTCCTTAAACATCCAGTGAAATGAAACTGAAGCCATAGAGGATGTACTGAAGATGGCCATGTGAGAGGGCGGTTACTATGGCGCCTGGTGCTATGCACATGACCTCTTCCCCATTCTCAAACCAGTCAGTTAGAAACCAGCTTGCCATCAGTCTCCTTCTGCCCTCCTCCTCCTAACAGGCAAAGGTGCCCTGAGGAGGAATTTAGGCTGTGGGTCAAGCAGCTCTGACTCTGAATTCAGCTCTGCCACTTACTAGCAATGTGACCTGGGGCCAGGTCTTCCTGAGCCTGAGTTTCCCGATCTGTAAAATGACACCTTGCTACAGGGATTCTTGTGAGGAGGAGAGCAGAAGAGTGAAGCGCTCTGCAGCATCCACCATATGATTAGTGCTGGCGTTAGTTTCAATGGACAGTTTCTAGAGGATGGGAACTATACCTGCTCTGATGTTATCACCTAGCATGTCTGTGAAATAGAAGACAATGATATCTCCAGGCCATTAGATTTCCAACCATCCAGATTATGCACATTCCCAGCAGAGCCAATTATGTGAGCTTATGCTAAATAATCTTTACCAACTCAAAGTGGAAGTGCAAAGATTCCATAAAGAAGTTCAATTCCATCTGGTTTGAGTTGGTGTTTAAAAAAAAAAAAAAAAGAAATTCAATTCCAAGGCTCAAACCAACTCACATCTCCTTTTTTACATAAGTTTAATTCTGAACTTCATCATGGGATTTAACCAGGTTCCTAATCATGCTGCAATGTCCCTAATTCCTTATATGAGTGCGACTGTATCCGATTCCATGGGATATGAGAATAAAACCTTGGCATTCCACAATTTGACTGCTGGTATAAGTTTAGCATCCCAAATGTGAAAATCCAAAATCCAAATTGCTCCAAAACCTGAAACTTTTTGAGCGCTGACATGACACTCAAAGAAAATGCTCATTGGAGCATTTTGAATTTTAGATTTTCAGATTTGGACTGCTCAATCGGTAAGTATATTCCAAAACCTAAAAAAATCTGAAATCCAAAACACCTGTGGTCCCAAGCATTCAGGATAAGGGGCACTCCACCAGTAATAAAATGACATTTCCTCCTTCAAACCTAAAAAAAGGAAGGAGTTCCAGGTGTGGTGGCTCACACCTGTAATCCCAGCACTTTGGGAGGCTGAGGTGGGAGGATCGCTTGAACCCAGCCATTTTGGAGCAGCTTGTACAACATAGAAAGACCCTCGTTTCTACAAAAAATTTAAGGAGTTTAAAAAAAAAAAAAAAAAGAAAGGCCGGGCACAGTGGCTCACACCTGTAATCCCAGCACTTTGGGAGGCCGAGGCGGGTGGATCATGAGGTCAGGAGATCGAGACCATCCTGGCTAACACAGTGAAACACCGTCTCTACTAAAAATACAAAAAAAAAAAAAAAAAAAATTAGCTTGGCATAGTGGCGGGTGCCTGTGGTCCCAGCTACTCGGGAGGCTGAGGCAGGAGAATGGCGTGAACCCGGGAGGCAGAGCTTGCAGTGAGCCAAGATCGCACCACTGCACTCCAGCCTGGGCGACGGAGCAGGACTCCGTCTCAAAAAAAAAAAAGAAGGAAGCGGTGGGGAGGGATTAGATTTTCCAACTAGTAGATGAGGATTTCCTAGTAAAATCTGGGAGCTAGTAGCTTTTCAAGCAGCTTAACTATTACCATGTCCTACTTACAAAATTATGTTCTCCATGGTTCACCAGATTCTCAGAGCGTAGAATGATATTGCTACCAAGGGACCCTTTCCACTCAGGTGAGTTAATACACTCACCCTTCAAGGACTCATCTAAAACACTCCTCTCCCCTAATGATCTGAAGATTCTAGAGAAATGAAGAGTGTCTCCTACCAAACAATTAGCATTTGTCCAGGCTAAAGGAGTTTAAAGCAAACATTCAAAGGGCCAACTGAGACTCTGGAAAAGACTCAGCTCACAGTTGAAGAGAATCTGATGGCACAGGCAGCACTGAGTGGCGTAGAGAGTACGTGTTCGGAAACCAAAGAGATCTGAGCAGAAATCCCACACGGGACCAAGAGGCTGTATGGCTGGGCCTGGGCAACTCACTGAGATGCTGCGAGTCTCACTTTTCTCATCTGCAAAATAGTGATAAGGCTACTTCTGCAGGGCTGCTGTGAAGATAAGAGGGGAAAAATATGTCCAGCCCCAACAGCAATGCCTTGCCACACTGCATGTGGTTAAGCAAAGGGGTGAAGAATATCCAATAGTACAGACTTGCCCATTTATGAACTAAGACCAAGTAATTCTGCCCCTCCTCCTTACATGGATAACTGGTCTACCTTTAGAAGGCCTACAAACAGGCCGGGCATGGGGGCTCACACCTGTAATCCCAGCACTTTGGGAGGCTGAGGCGGGAGGACTGCTTGGGCCCAGGAGTTTGAGACTAGCCTGGGCCACGTGAAGAGACCCTATCTCTATTATTTTTTATTAAAAAAAAAAAAAAGCCTCCAAACAATAAAAATGATCAAACCAAGAGATAAGCAGCAAAACAGAAGATGACAAAAGAAAACAAAACTCTGCCGGGCGCGGTGGCTCACGCCTGTAATCCCAGCACTCTGGGAGGCCGAGGCAGGCAGATCACAGGTCAGGAGATTGAGACCATCCTGGCTAACACAGTGAAATCCATCTCTACTAAAAATACAAAAAAATTAGCCGGGTGTGGTGGCACACGCCTGTAGTCCCAACTACTTGGGAGACTGAGGCAGGAGAATCCCTTGAACCTGGGAGGCAGAGGCTGCAGTGAGCCGAGATCACGCCACTGTACTCCAGCCTGTCGACAGAGCCAGACTCCATCTCAAAAAAAAAAAAAAAAAAAAAAAACGAAAACAAACAAAACAAAACAAAACAAAAAAACGTCATCACTCCTGCGGTGGTGAACACCTGTAGTCACAGCTACTTGGAAGATTGAGGCAGGAGGCTCACTTGAGCTCAGGAGTTCAAGACCAGCAGCCTAGGCAACAGAGTGAGACCCGATCTCAAAAAAAAAAAAAAAAAAAAAACCTTCTCTCAAAAAACAAACTTCATAATTCCTGGACAAATCCAATAGGTGATCATTCAAAAGTATACCCATGACTTAAGAAGTTCGTAAGTTAATAAGTATCAACTGGTTCTTCAAAACCAAATTAACATTTTGGATCCTTGCAGGTGAGGCAGAAGAGAGTAAAAGGCGAGGTACACAAGTACTGAAATCTATGATGGCCCTTTTCTATCACACAGGAGATGAAGATTACTTCAAAAGTACTTACAAAATATGCACCATTTTAAAAATTAACAACAGAAATAAGGTTCTATATTGTAACTATCAATAAACATAGTGGGTGCTTCAAAATATTGGTTAGTTGCTGATATGGAGCCAAAATGTTCTACTGTCTTTTATGTAAACCCTAAAACTCTTTTATTATCCTAGAATTTTTTTTCTAATTACATAAGACAATATATGCTCAGCAAAAAAAAAAAAAAAAAAAAGTTTGGAAAGCCAGGCACACCAGATCATGCCTGTAATCCCAGCTACCAGGGAGGCTGAGGCAGGAGGATCACTTGATCCCAGGATTTCAAGGCTGCAGTGAACTATGATGGCACCACTGTATACCAGCCTGGGCGACAGAGCAACACTCCATCTCTTAAAAAACAAAACAAAACAAAACACGTTTAAAGTTTGGAAAGAAAAAGGCACCAAGAAAAAAAATATTTCATATAGATAGCTAAACAGACAGACAGACAATATATGGCCCACCCCAGGAAGCTTATTAATTCTGTAATATGCTAGATACATAAAGTATAAAACTTTGCTTTTCCACTTTTACTTTCAGAACTCATTTTCAGAAATACTCCTCAATGTTTTCTCACACAGAAGTTGATTTTTTCCTATCAACCAAAATGATGATTATAACTACACCTTCAAATCAAAGTCTGTAACACAAATAGACTCCAAAAGTATTTCTGCTAGAGTTTCTGAATCCTTCCACTTTTAATCTAGACTACAAATAATTTAAAGTTCACGTATTGTTCCATGACCTCAAATCTAAGGCCTGTCAGACTTCATTTGCCACAGGAAAGGTCAATGAAAGAAAAGATTAGTTCAATACTTCTTTCAGCCCCACGACTGGCACTGTGCTGCCTCTTCTTAAAAAACAATGTCCTTTGTCCCCCAGTGCCTTTAGTGAGCTAGCCTCATTGTACACTGGGTCCTTATTACTTTCCTAACAAAGCCACCTCTAATGAGATATGGAGGTTCAGAGGGGATTCTCTCCACTCCAAGTCGGTGTCAGACTGATGAACTTCCTAGAAAAATATGTCCGGTCTGTGTCCAGTCACCGTTCAGATGCATTAAATAAGCATCTTATTTGTGGCAGCCTTCTACATGAATGGCTAGACATTTTGAAGATGCCTGTGTACCTACTGTGTGCCAGGCAAGGTGCTCATGTTCAAGGCAAGCCTTAAAAAAATTAGGATTTCAATGTACATTTACCAAAGCTCTGGCGAAGTTAGGTGCCTTGTTCAAGGTGTCACAGCTGGAAATGCTGTCCCAGCCAGGTGGGTGAGACCCACAGTCCCATCAGCTCATCCTGCGGTCACAACCTATTCACGGTTTGCATCAGAAACATGGGAAGCTGTTCCTGGGTCTCACATGTTCTCCAAATATCTCTAGAAAACAGCAGCCCAGGCTGCCCCACGGTGGGTCCTGCTGCCAAGGAGAAGTGGGCATAGAGGGACCAAGGGCCATGGGCTTTCCTCAGCAGGGAAGGAAATGCAGGCCAGATGTCCATGGTGGTGATGATGACGATGCCTTCCTTACTGTCCTCTACGGCAGGCCCATAACATACCTTCCCCGGTGTAACCTTCTCAACAGTCTGGTTATTACAGGTGACAATAACCAAGGCTCTAGGAAATTCCAGCCACGGCTGCAAGCCACCCAGCCGACCGATGGGACTTGAACCTGCGCCTCCTGGATCCAGGCGCCCTCCCCGCGGCCTCCCGAGCCGTGAGTGCTGCCCTCACCCCTCCCTTCTCCGCGAAGCCCCTCGCCCGTTTGCTCGCAGTGCCCCCACGGCCGATCCCGAAATCCCCGGGGCGCGAGGGCCCCGGCGCCAGCTGCCCGCTCTGCCCACGCCGTCTCAGGGACCCTGGCCCTGGCGGCCGCCGCGACAGACCCACTTACGCGGATCGCGGAGCAAGACGTCCGCGGCGCGCAGAGCCGCAGCCATGTTTGCGCCGAGTGAAGGCATTGCCCTGGCAGCCTCGGCCCGAGTCCGGGCTCCTCCCGCGTTGGCGCGCCCAGGTGTCCGCCCAGCAGCGGCCGAGGGGGGCAGCGCTCCCCACGCGCGTCCCCGGCCCCCTGACCTCGCACCCTCCCGGCGCGCCCGTTCATTCGCTGCCGGGCCGGGGCGGGGCCTCGGGGGCGAGGCCAGGCGGGGACACGCCTCTCGCGGAGAGCCCGCCCCAGCTGGGCGCTGCTCCCTGCGTGAAAATGGGCCTGGCGGCTGAGCTAGAAGCCCACTCCCCACCACCATCGCAGTTCACTGCAAAACCTGCTGGACTCGTATTTGCGCTGGATGGGTGCCCTGGTTGCATCTGCCAAGCTAGCCAACTGAGGATCCTCAGCCATGACTCAGCAAATAACTTTTTTTGACGTTTCCTTTACTATTAGATATAAGGATGCTTTTGCCTCAGTTCTCCAGTTTGCCTGCCTAGTCACAGCACAAGTGTGCAGATCCTGTTTTGTTTTGCTTTATTTTCAGAACAGAAAAAGGGATTATTCAGTTTATCTGCACCCTCTCTGTGTAGCAGAATTTGACAGGTGAGACTCACAGAAGAGCTTTAGGAAAACTGAAGGCCAGCCTGGCAAGTGTATTTCTTGGAGGGACGGTATGATGAGGTTTGTCTGTATCATATCCGCGCACCTTCCCAGTTTAACCACCTGCCCCGCCCCCAAGGTCGCACACTGAGACCACAGGGAGGAACAGGTGCACATTTCATTCCTACACCTCCGCCAGCCCACCCTGCCCATATATGTTCAATGCGTTGTGGAGTAGGAAACCAGTCCTTGGTACAGAAAGGTCTCAGGCATCGGTATTCATTGAACAAATATTGAGCACCTACTATGTGCATTGGGAAAACAGTAGTGAATAGAGCAGACGGGGGTTTACATGGGGTTAGGGGAGACAGAAAATAATCACAATATGTAATATTTTGAATGATGGAGCCTTCCACGGCCTCCCCACTTCTTTTTCCTTCTCAGGACAAACGAAGAATGAAGCAAGGTAAAAGAGATGGGGTAGCGTGGGGGAAGGGACTAATGCAATTTGAAGCAGGTGGGCCAGAGTTCACACACATTCGAGCAAAGGCCTTATACACATTTGAGCAAAGGTGGCAAGCCATATGGAACATTCAGGGAAGATGGAGTCTAGATTCAGCTGAAACCCAGTTTTCTGTAGCTTAAATATGTGCTACTGATGGAATTAGTTTATTTCCTATTAAAGTTGGTCCTCCTGATAGTTATAAGGCCAATGCAAACTGTCAAATTAAATGGATAGCCTTTCATATTACCTACATGATCTTCATATCCAAGCGGATGTCCTGAGAAAAGCACAGTAAAACCTGATCCAGGTATCAACTCACCTTCCTTATATGTGTGGCTAATTCTCTACCCTCATAACAAAAATTACAGTCTTCTTAAGTTGCCCTTTAAAGAGGTAATCTTCATGGATAACATACTTCTCTACCTACAATCTGAACCCATTTTTGTTGTTGTTGTTGTTGTTGGTTTTGTATTTCTAGTAGAGATAGAGTTTTGCCATGTTGGTCAGGCTGGTCTTGAACTGCTGACCTCAGGTGATCCACCCACCTCGGCCTCCCAAAGTGCTGGGATTACAGGCGTGAGTCACCGTGTGCAGCCTGAACCCATTTCTTCTAAAGAAACTAAATTAAAAGGCTTCTCATGTTGCAATACTGTGTGCCAGAAGTGTAGACAAGGCCAGAGAATAAAATGGCCAGGGGTGTTAAGACGTCTGAGCTATGAAGGCTCTTCTTGTCCCCTCTGGGAGGCCCTGGAGAAGTCATCCCCTCCATCTAGGGTGCTGGGCCCCTCCTGCTGGGTGCAGATAAGGGGGCTTCTGGTCCCTCCCAGGCAAACGCTGATGATTAGTGACAAGGCATAAAGATGCCAAGTCTCACCAGTACAAAATCAATGGCTGGCGCAGGTTAAATTTGTTTCTGTCCAGAAATGATTAAGGAACTAGCAGAACATACTTTATTACATATTTTAATGAATCAGCATCATTTCATTTCTTTTATTCACATCTTGTACTTTCATTTTTACTGACTTCCATTTTTTATTTTTTCATTAATTATTATTATTATTATTTTTTGAGAGGGAGTCTCACCCTGTTGCTCAGGCTGGAGTGCAGTGGCGTGATCTCGGCTCACTGCAACCTCTGCCTCCTGGGTCCAAGTGATTCTCCTGCCTCAGCCCCCTGAGTAGCTGGGATTACAGGTGCCTTTATGACTTTTAAAAACTCATTCAAGATTCCTCATGTATAAAACCTCCTGGTGGCACATATGAAGAACTCATAGGTTATAACTGAAAACAGAACTTCCTTCTTTTTCCCCAACAGAGAGTACCATAACAATTGTTATTCCTAATCTGTGGCTTATTTCTCACAAACATTGAATATAACAGCTCTCCAATAAGTAAATTTTTATGTTGTTATGCAGTGAAAGCAGATAAAATGTGCTTTATGTTGGTCCTTTTCAAAACTGGTAGAAAACAGTCCTTACCCCAGAAATTGTGAACTCTAAATACAGGCTTACCAGAAAAGCCCTTGAAAGGCTAAAGAAATTTGCAGAACCATATGACATATATAACATGAGTTTTTTCTAACAACATATTTTTAACAAAATTATACACCAATTCCATTAGCAAACAGAAGGCTAAAAAGGCACAGTGTCTGGGCTAACAGAGATAAGGAGCACCCCAACCAGGAGGGAGAGGGTTTGTCTGAGGCCTGGTGACTTCATTAGTGAATAAAGCACTCACCTGTCACAGACACCACTTTGAGTGCAGCCTGTGATCCTAAATAAAATGAATTTGTTGGTTTCAGCTCAGTGCTTCAGGGAAAAGGGTGGGAAATCTCTTCATTCATTATTTGCCATGATTGGCACCTCTGAGCTACATGAACTAAATTTAGATTATTCAACTCTGATTCCTTAATCAGAAAAAGAACTGGGGAAGGGAGGAATCAGGAGGGATTCAGGTCAAGAGAAACAGTGGCTGCATGTGACAAATGGTAAGCTATAATGATTACTCAGAGAAATCTGATCGATTGTCCCTAGAATCATTTTACAACAAAGAGGCCACAAAATCCAGGCCAACATGCCACACGTTTTGACTTGCCACTCTTCACCATGCAAGCCTTCAGCCCAGTGGTGGTGACAGGTTTATTAATCCATCTGCCCATATTTCCTGACTGTCTTACCATGAGCAAAACATTAGGTCATGTGGAGGATAAAAGAGTGAAAAGGAAAACAAACAACATTCTCAAACAGCTCATTCGCTTATGAAACAAACGTATGGGAGACTCTATTCTATGTCAGGCACGTAGCAGGCAATGGGTGTGCAGCAATGAACTGGACGGTCTCTACTCTCATAGAACGTACCTTCTAGAAGGCAAGGCAGATGATTGTTTTACAACAAAGATGAAAGGCATACAACATATTGTCAGGTATGGCTAGGGTCTGTGGAGAAAGCTAAAGGAGGGGGAGGAAGGGAGAGAGGCTGCAACTGCTCAGGCCAGTAGTGTAGTCAGGACCAGCCTGTCTGCAAAGGTGGCATTTCAGCAGGGACCTGCAGGGAATGAGGGCATTGTCTCGGGAAGGGTTTGCAAGCAAGAGAGACCAGCAAGCGCTGGAACACATTTGAGGCTTGTATTCATTTCCTACGGCTGCTGGAACAAAATACCACAAATGTGTTGTCTTCCTGTTTTGAAGGCTAGAAATGCAAAATTAGGGTGTCAGCAGGGCTGTGCTCCCTCTGAAACCTGTAAGGGAGAATCCTTCTTTGCCTTTTTTAGCTCGTGGTGGTGGCAAAAATCCTTGATGTTCCTCAGCTTGTAGATGCAGCACTCCAACCTCTGCCTCTGCAGTCACAAGCTGTCTTCTCCGCTTGGAAGGACGCCAGTCATTTTGGATTAAAGGCCTACCCTAATAACCTCGTCTTAACTTGACTGTGTCTGCAAAGACCCTGTTTCCAAATAAGAGAGTTCATGTTTACAGGTTCCTGGGGGCTAGGATGTCACCATGTCTGTTGGCGGAACACAACTCAGCCCCAGAACAAGGCTATCAAGGAACAGCAGGGAGGCCACATGGCTTGAGTAGGGGGGCGGGAAGTAGGGGAACCAGGGCGGAGTGATGTAGAACTTTGTAGATAATGAAAAATTGTGTCTTCTGAGTGACCTTCATTTAGCAGAGTGATACATGCTTATGTTTTAGAAGGTTCACTTTGTCTTCAGTATGGGGAATAAACTGAAGTTTCTGAGCCAGTCTTCACTTACACTGCATGACTAAATGTGCCCATCGTGGCCGGGTGCGGTGGCTCATACCTGTAATCCCAGCACTTTGGGAGGCTGAGGCGGGCGGATCACCTGAGGTCGGGAGTTTGAGACCAGCCTGAGCAACATAGAGAAACCTGTCTCTACTAAAAATACAAAATTAGCCGGGCGTGGTGGCACATGCCTGTAATCCAGCTACACAGGAGGCTGAGACAGGAGAATCACTTGAACCCGGGAGGCGGAGGTTGCAGTGAGCTGAGATTGTGCTGTTGCACTCCAGCCTGGGCAACAAAAGCAAAACTCTGTCTTAAAAAAAAAAAGTGTCCATTGTTTTTTGTTTGTTTGGTTTTTAGCTTATTCATACTGAGTGTTTTTTCCAGAGTTCTCTGCTTCCTGGGTGGTGGAAGGGTCCCTAAGGGGCCTTTCTGATTTGCTTCTTCCAGGACCCAGCGGTCCCACCAGTCTTAGACCGAGTTTGAGTGAATATCTCAACTTGGTTGTCCTCTTCCCTGCAGGTGTATACATTCACAGCCAGGGAGAGGCATTCCCCAGAGCCCTGGGAAGACAGCAGGCTTCCTTGTGCTTCTCTGGGCTAGAGGGCCAATTTTCTGCATTACTTTTCACAGAAGTGCTGGGCCTCTGCAGCCCTGCTTCATGGAGGGGTCTGGTTCTAGCTCCACCTTCCTATGACTGCATAGGCATTCTAAGAGCTGGGCACATGATGTGTTCACTGTGAACACTCAGGGAGTTGCATGCTTATGATGTATGCCTTCTTCTGTATAAATGCTATACTTTAATGAAACTTTTTTTTTTTTAA